ATTCCTTGCACAGTTCTTAAAATGTTCGAATCCGAAGCCAACGTAGCCCTTCTCGAAGCCATCCGAGCGTATTTAATCGACGATTCCGCGCCGCCGCCGCCGGAAATAATGTTCGAGAACCCGTCGCCGGCCGGCCCTCCCCGGGAATCGGAGGCGGACGCCGGGTGGCGGCGGTACAGAGGGGTGAGGCGGCGGCCGTGGGGGCGATTCGCGGCGGAGATAAGGGATCCGGCGAGGAACGGGTCCCGCGTGTGGCTCGGGACGTACGAGACGGCCGAGGACGCGGCCCGAGCGTACGACAGGGCCGCGTACGGGATGAGGGGGGCCCGCGCGCTACTGAATTTCCCGCTGAGGATAAATTCCGGCGAGCCGGCGCCGATTAGGGTCACGGCGAGGAGGCCGGCGGCCGCGAGTGGGTCGGGAAAGAGGGGGAGGGCGGGCCGGCGTGAGTTGGGGTGGATCGAATGAGTGTGAAATTGGGGGAAGAAATAATTGAAGTTCTGTTTGGGTTTGTGTACTGTTGGAAATTGGAATAATTTCCAACTTTTTTTATTAATTTATTCAAGATTCTGAAATTATATAATAAAAATGTTTGTATTTACTAAATAGTATAGATTTTTTGAGAAAAAAAATTGCTTACTTTATTTTTTATTTTTTTAAACATTTTTATTTTTTTTTTGTAATTATTTCTACCATCTACGGTGAGACTTTTATTTTTATTAGTTAATGTGATATCAATAATTGATTTGAATATATTGATTAAGCTTTTTTCATTTTTTTTTATAATTATTTGTGATAAACTTTTGTACGATCATTTATTTGATTACTACATAATCTAGAATTTCAGTGGAATTGTTAAATATAAACTAATGGATATAGTTATACATTAATCACTCCAAACATAGTTACTATTTACAATTAAAAATAAATATTAGAATATTTCCTGAAATGTTAGAAAAGGAAACTTTTATATGTCATGTCAATTATTAAAAATGTAGAACTTATAAATGAGAATATTTCAATATAATTAAAATAGATAAAACATATTTTATCTTTTAGATATATGAACTGATAATCTTAAATCATATGAATCTTGAATTGATAAATTTTATGTTTCAAGCTCGAATTAATAATTGACCCATCTTTCAAGTCTCAACTTAATATAAGCTAAAGTCTTAAATTAATAGTTTTAGGTATTTTGGATAGTTGATAGAATACCGAAATGGATAAATCCTCATTAATGATTAATAAACAAAATAAATGAATAAAAATAATATTAAATAATATAATTCTATTTATTTATATTAAAGACCGTGGACCGTACATGTACACTTATAAAAATGTTTCACATTTACATGAAACCTTATGTATAATTTTTCACTAAACACTTTTAGTTACTAAAAAGGGAAAATTCATTAGAACTTTTAATTTTTCTCTTTTTTTCGTCTTCTTTAGCATTGTATATTTCTTGGAAATAATGTTTATTTAATAGTATATGGAAAATAATTTTTGGATCAATTTATTTAAGAAAAACATGAAAATTTATTTGGATCAATTGGGTAATTGAATTAGGTTACTGCCCAAGTTGATTGAATTACTTTTAGATGATATTACAAATAATTCAAAAACATGACACCACTGGGGTTGATCTCGAGTGACCAAGTTATAGGTCAGTTTGACTAGACCAAATCGATTATTGAAAATAAATATAATTTTTAATATTAAAAATATTTTATTACGATATCTGTAATGTAGTCCAAACTCGAGATATTCATATGTCAATAATTATTTTATGACAACATATTCAATGGTTTATGAATATTTATATATCATTTTATTAATACTAGTAGTCACCCGTGCGATGCACGGAGATATTATTATCTAGAATATTTTTAAAAAAAAATTTTGTATATAAATTGTGTTATGCAGGCAATGATCATGATCATAATAATAGACATATAAACATATCATTAAATTGAAGAAATCATATATTATTGAACACTTCCCTATATACAACATTATGGTTTGATTCTTTGGCACGTCATCTTCGCCACAAATTAAGATTTTCAAAACTTTTCGGTTAGTGACACGGGAAACAGCAACATATAACTGGTCATGACTGAACACTGGTTTCTTAAGAAATAAGCTAACATGAGATACGGATTGTCCCTAGCTCTTGTTTATAGTCATGGCGTAAGAAACCATAATGGGAAACTGTCGCCGCTGGAACTTAAAAGGAATTCTAACATCAGAAGGAGTTATGGCCATTCTTGGAATCAACACCTTATCACCAGCATGATCTCCTGTGAGTATCTTATACTCAAGAACGTGAGTCGATAGCTTTGTCACTCCAATCGTGTCCCATTACACAAACCCATAGAATGATCCATGTTCCGCAACAACATGACTAGAGTTCCAATCTTCAAATACAACTCATGGTTCGGTATTTCGGAACACTTGATACTATTAAGAAACTCAAGCGTATGGAGATCAGATAAAAAATCATTATTAGAATCCGATTTGCACGTACTGTCAGAGCTCAAGTACATACGACCATCCAACAAATTCAATGATGTCATGTACTGATTGATAGACTCGACCACATCTAACGTCGGCGCTAATATAGCCCTATCCTTAAAATAACTTGGATCGTCAGGTGCCTCTTTATACATTGGATATGTGCTTTCAACTATCTGAGCAATAGGATCATCAGATGGCTAAAGCAAAATGTCCTCGGGTATGTCTATAGGTGCACATCCATCATCAAACCCTCTGATAGTTCCATCTCCGTGTTGGCTATCTAATCTACAAACCGTGCAAGCTCATCACGTTTATCCGAATTAGCAAGTCCCTGAAGGTGCATTTTTTCGTAAGCCTAAGCACAGTACAACTCCTCCATATGTCAGAAGAATTAATTGCAGCATTGACTATGTCCTGACGGCTACCCTTTAGAATGACAGGAAAGATTTGTCGAAAATCTCCACAAAAAACAACCTGCTTCCCACCTAACGGTTTGTTCAAGTTCAAAGGATCAATTGCTCCAATAATACCCTACAGCGATGTCTGTACAACTTCGAAACAATGCTTGTGCATCATTGGTGTTTCATCCCATATTATTAGAGAAGCACGAATTATCAATGATGGATCTATACATTCCGATATTACTCTCGACTTGATAGTTTCGAAATGCATAGACAGCACCTTCTTCGAATTCATTTATGAAAGTTGGGATGTTGATTGCTTTACTATTCCAGTAATTCGACCTCCGTGAAAAAAAGAAAAAAGAAAAATAATATTAGATATTAGATATTATAATTAACGTGATGAGAAAAATGGATAATCATTATTTTTTATTATGAATTAAACCTCAATGTCATGAAAGACAATTTCAAGGATGTTCTTGTAGGAGGAGTATTGATTAATCCTTTGGAAAACTCGAACCACCCTCAACTTGAGCATTGGCCTATTGATCCTTGTTACTTGCTTGATGTTTCTCCATGCTCTCGCCATTTTTCTGTTTATATGTGAAATTATAGTGTGAGATTTTTGTGATACGTGATGTAGGCTCCAAGGTTTATTTTATTGCCATGGGATAAAAGTAGATAACCATTATATGATAAGATTAGTTAGACTCACGTTAATCTCTCTTGATAAGATTCATTGCACGTGATTTTAATTTCAGAGTTCCAATAAATTCAAACTCTAATATCATGATAAGATTAGTAAAACGTGATTTATCAGATTGTTAACTCTAGATTTATCCCCCGTACGACTCTGCATTTGTTATGTTTTTTAAATGAATGACATTGAATTCAAATGGAATATATTTCGGTCAATCCAAACACAAATGATTATCACGTTGGTATGGACCGAAATTTTTATGATGATGAGATAAGTGGAAAGTAGTTAAGAAGTGGAGATTTTTGTGTGATAGCATCATTACATAATTACCATCACCATCAATCTTTCCATTAAATTTCGGTACATACCAACGTGATAAAAAAAAATTCTTGAAAATTTTTTTACGTCAAACAAATAATATAATTACGTCAAAAATTTTGTACGTCAAAATTTTAATTCAAACAAATCTTTCCATCTTTTTACGTCAAGATTTTAATAATAATAATTTATATATGACACAAATTAAAATAAATATGATAATCAAATTCATATTTATGAATATAATTCATTATGATAAATTATTGAAAAATCACGCAATATAATCCATTAAATATACTTGATTTAGTTATTGTTAATTCCGTAAATTTTTTTGTTCAAATAAAAGATACACCAATTTTGAATTCAAATGGAATTCAAAGAGTGATACTCGGTCAATAAAAACCTAAAACAATTTTGAAATCAAATTGTAATTTCCAACCTTATCATGTATGATGATAAGATAAGTGCAAAGTAGTTAAGAAGTGGAGATTTTCGTGTGATAGCATCGTTAGATAATTAACATCTTTCCATTAAATTTCGGTCCATACCAATGTGATACAAAAAAAATTGTTGAAAATTTTTTTACATCAAACAGATATTATAATATTTTACTTTAAAATTTTACGTCAAACAAATCTTTCCAACTTTTTACGTAAAAATTTTAATAATAATAATTTATATATAACACAAATTAATATAAATATTATAATCAAAATTCATATTCGTATTTATGAATATATTTCATTATGATAAATTATTGAAAAATCACGCCATATAATCTATTAAATGTACTTAATTAAGTTATTGTTAATTCCGTAATTTTTTTTATATAATCTTATATTCGAAATATTTGTTAAAATTTGTATTAATTTATATCTTGTATCATGGCATTCTATCAATTTTAAACTAATATACAGTAGAACTCAAAAATAAAATGTTCAAATTTTCACATTCATGCGACATTTAATAAAAAAAAAAATATCCAACGACATTTTATAACGATAACAAATATAATAACACTAAAATTTATTATAGAATTCGGAATTCAATAACATGGAATGAAATTAAAATTCATAATAATCAAACTCTAAATATCATAAATATCTCCTGCTCCTTGCTAATGTTGAGGGAAAATCCCACCATATTTGATAACATGAGTTTTTCCATAAATTTATAAATATGAATTAAAATATTTTTTAAAATTATGTAAATTTGATATTACAAATATAAATATTTACCTGTTCATCATGAAACAGTATATGGAATGCGTTCCAGCTCTCCCGTTGGTGATGTGTTTCAACTATTAGGACTGCTTTCAAGTGCAAAAAAAGCTTGTTTATCCTACTCACGGAATTGAGTGTATCCCAGATTGACGGCATTTATTATCAATGTGTTCTGAAATTTATCTTTTTTTTTTCTCTGTAAAATTTATCTCGGTTTTTTTTTTTTTTTTTCTGTGAACTGTGAATGACGTGAACTTTTTTTTTTTCTAAACTGTGAATGACGTGAATTGTTGAGTAGTGGTAGTGCATATGATTTTATACCAAACAACTGTTTTTGAACTAAAGATTCGCATAATTATGTAATAATAATTATGGATCCAATTGTGACTTATCCACATATCCCTATAATATCTCTAATCAATTAATTTTTGAATTAATCATGTAATGATAATTATGGATCCAATTGTGACTTATCCACAATCTCAATAATATCTCTAATAATAATTATGGATCCAATTGTGACTTATCCACATATCCCTATAATATCTCTAATCAATTAATTTTTGAACTAATCATGTAATGATAATTATGGATCCAATTGTGACTTATCCACAATCCCAATAATATCTCTAATAAACAAATTTTTGAATTGAAGTATGACTTTTTTAAAATTTCGTGTATTATAAATGCAGTAAATATGGTTTCTATATTTAGATTGTCAAAGTTTTTTTTTTTTTTGTCAAAAGTTTCTAAAAAGGTATTTTAACAACAACCTTTTTATATATATATAGATTATGTGAACAAAATGATACTGAATTACGACATTCATTAATATACAGTAAATCCAAGTTTGACAAACCTGAACTGTCATGGAATCAATCAAGTTATTTATTCAATATTTACTAGTACGTAACCCGTGCGATGCACGGGATGTAAAATTTGGAAGAATAATATAACCTCACGTGCATTAGGATCGAAATTGAAATCATTAAAATACATAGGAACATTGTTGAATCATAAAAAGTTCGGTAACAATCATATATTATTAAAAACCTCATTGTACACAACATTATGAGTTTTATTATTTGGTAACTCCTCATTATCACAAACTAATATTTTCAAAAGAGACAAATTCTAAAAATCAAACTAATATTTTTGGTGAACAAACTAATATTTTAGGATTGGTGAACAAACTAATATTTTAGAATTTCTAGAATTTGTCTCTTTTTGGTGAACAAACTAATATTTTAGGATTGGTTATATGAATAAGGCTACCTGTTTTTTGTGTTCTTTTCATTCATTTTCATTCAAACAATCCGATGACTTGTATAATGAAATCCGAATCTTAAGCCGAAATATTTAAAAAAGAGTTTTTAAAAATTGAAAAGTCAAGGCAATCAGTTCAGATTAATTAAAGGTCAAAGAATATCTGTTCCTTGAAATAAAAGACGTGTGCTATCATTAACCAAATATCCGGTTATTGATATAGAGTGGTTACCAAAAAATAGAACGCGATAAAGACGCTTCATGGAAATATCAATGGGATAAGGTCATAACAGATCGCTATACATTTTAACGATAAAAGCTTAGATAGAATGATTTATGATAATTATGTCGTAATTAATGAATTAATTAGATGTGTGAAAAGGACATAATTAATTAGATGTGTGAAAAGGACATAATTAATGAGAAGTGTGACGTGAAAATGACATAATTAATGAGAAGTGTGAAAAGGACAAAAACTTACCGGTTTTAAAAAATATTTAATGCAAATCCGACATTTACCATCATTTGACCTACTATTTTGGATAAATGTTAATTCTTATTATATAAGTATAGATTGGTTGAACTAAACTTTAATTTATAAATATTTTAATATATATGTAGTACTTTATGTAATAAACTTATACAAAATAATTAATTAAATATCTGAATAATCTAACATTTTCAAATGTTTTTAAATTAATTGATACATAATTTATAAATCTTCATTAATTTTATTTAAAAATGTATTTTTATTTATATTAAAATAACTTTAAATGTAACAAAATTTATTTAAAAAATCGTACCAATCCCATTCTACCAGTCCAACTGATTGGTGTTGACCGATTCGCTAGCAAACGTTATCTTCAAGGGAAACGGATCGGTCAATAAACCAATTCCCTGTCCATCTGGTCGTACTGTCCGGTTTAGTTCAATTTCGAATACAATAAGTAAATCATGATTATTGTTATTTATATATTTAATTTATAATACAATTGCAATATTGTTTCACAGTGTATTGCACGAGTCACGTACTAACAATTATGGTACTCTGAGCAAAAATTAATCCGTTCATATATTTGATGTTTAGAATAGTTGTTTCCGTTATATAAAATAAATACATCAAAATATTTATTCTGTGGCGTTTATGCTAAATGTATATTATTTAACACTTTATGATAATTTATTTTACAGCATAACCTTAGACTTGTTTATTTTTAATTAAAACTAATAACTAAAGTTTTATTTTATTTTATATCAATATATATGTTGGTTATATTATTATTATTATTATTATTATTATTAACAGCACCAATCAAAATATGACTATATGACTATGAATATTTACTTAAATAATATATGACCACATTCTATTTGTCACATGTTTAATGCTAGCGGTAAATTGTTGACATGTGATATCAACAACGAGCCGAAATAACTGCAAAGCATAATTAAAACAGGTGAGACAAAGGTTGCAAGGAAAGATTGCATGCTTTTCTTATGTTTTACAGCTTTTGGTATTTTTCTCGGTGATCTTTCGTTAATTTTCTATGATGCTAGGGGCAAATTTGTCCAAAGGGGGACGGTAAGTAGTAATAAGAAGACGGTGAATAGCAATTGAGAATTGAAATTATTACAATTTATACTAGGTAAGAAGTTAAAAAAAAAACATTATGACTTCTTGGGACACGTGTCGTATGTCTGAGAGACCAGCCACTTGCGATATGCTTAGTAGAAGCGTATCTTTTTGGGGAACAAGACCGAATTCATGGGTGACAATCTTTTTACAATGGAATGTGACATCGAAAGTTGTGTCAGTGATGAGATCGGCAAGAAAAAAACCGACGTGACTCTGGAATACGCGTGGTACCGATGTGTTTCTGATGGGCATGGAGTGTCGATATAATGAAGGAATTAGAATGGTGATTTATCCTTGAGTCAACTGGTTAGAGATTCAATATATATTATCTATATTTTGAGATGTATTAATATAAACTGATATGTGTAAAATTATAATTAGTTTGAGATAAAAGAGATATTTAATAATATATAATTGAGAATGTCTAAATTAATTATGTCTAAAAAAACTTCTATACATTTTTAAATTATGGGCGATGTTTTAGAGGTGATTACAATATCCATGCTATTTAGGTGGTGATTGTTTATGGATTGAACTAGTTTTTATTTGGTTTGTTTTTTAATTATAGTTAATTTTGAAAAAAGGTGGTATGGTTAGTTGTTATTGGATATATTAAAATAATATTTAAATAAAATAATTAAAGTTGATTTGATGTAAAGTAGAGAGAAATGATTGGAAGTGATAGTTAGTTAGAGTTATGTGAGTGGATGAATAGTGAATTAAAGTTGATGTGATATGTAAAAATGATTGGTTGATATTATTTAATTATATTGATAATATTTATGATAGTGGGGTTGAGTTAAAGTTGAGTTAAATTTGAGTTTTAATTGATTTTTTACTATTCAATTCATATACAATCACACGAGTTGATTCATATAGGCAAAAAAGCATACAGAACAACATTTATACTTATCATTAAACACACGTGAGTATCCTTCTCTTTCTTTCCACGTGATAAACCTATGTAGTTTTCATTTTTCTCCATTTTCTTCTTCAATTTTTAACCGGATTTGAAACCTTTTACTCATCCCCATTTTTTCTATCGAAAATTAAAAGAAGCCACAGACACGTCTCCACCCGCAAAAAAGCTGCGTGTCAGGCAAAACCTGCACCGGCTCAACACGTGTCCATCCTCACGTGACACCGCCATGCACCCCCTCACCCCATTATAAACACACCCAAGAGGCCAAGAACCCCACCGCCCAAAATCACTAATTCCACATCTCTATCCTCGTTAATTCCCAAAAAGTTAAAAATTGAAAGAAAAAAAGCTAAGCTAATTAAATGGCCCAGATCCAGCCCCACTACGGCGCCGCCCACCGCCAGAAGGAGCCGCCACAGCTGTCCCGCCAGGTGGCGAAGACGGCCACCGCCGTCACCCTCGGCGGTTCACTCATGGTCCTCTCCGGCCTGACCATGGCTGCCACCGTCGTCGGGCTAGCGCTGGCCACGCCGCTGCTGGTCATATTCAGCCCCATCCTCGTCCCCGCCGCCGTGACCCTGTTCCTGATTCTCGCCGGGTTGGCGGCCTCAGGAGGGTTTGGGGCCGCGGCCAGCTTTGTGCTGTACTGGATGTACCGGTACGCCACCGGGAAGCACCCGATCGGGGCGGAGCAGGTGGACCGGGCGCGGGAGAAGCTGACCCACGCTGCGCACCAAGTCAAGGAGAAGGCCGAGCAGCAGATTGGCAGCGGCGCCAGGGGAACTTGAATTGTGTGTGTGTGAATGAAATGAAAAGAAAAATAAATGGGATTTAATGGTGGGCTTATTAGTAGTGATGTGTGTGTGTGCGCGCGCGCTTTGGTGTTGTATGTGAGTGTGTGTGTGTGTGTGTGGCATTCTGATTTTGAGGATTTGTGCTCTTTAAAATTGTGCAAGAAGGCTGATCATGGATATGTATTGTATTTTTGTGTTGTTTGCTGAGGTGTTTTTTTTTCCTGATTACATAAAAAATCACTTCCGAAATCAGGATAACTTTTTTGCAATTTAACCACAATTTTAGGGTAATTATAAACTTTTATTAAGAAATTGCAATTCGGAATCAATTGTGTTTGCGGGCAAAGGGTCACACTAACGCTATTTGCTTGATTAGGAATGTGGGCAAAGGGTCAGACGCACGCTATTTGCTTAAAGGATCACATGCTGATTAGACTTTAGGTTAATGTCCAATGCTATTTGAACTTCTATCTAATCTCGATTTTTTCATAAACTGAAACTAAAACTCATGAACAAGTCCAACCTACACGACTGGATCGTGAATGAAGCCGCCCAACATGTTATTTAATCTCCAGTTCTGAATATAAACCCTCGAATTCTACAAATTCTATTGCACATAAACAAATGCTAATCTTAGGTTATCGATCTTCATGTAGATTCACAAGTAAATTTCGAATATGAAAAGGCTGCCACTCACAAATTAACATAAAACTAGCTGATAAGTTAACTGCTAGTTGATAAGTTAATTGATAATTTATTAATAATTTTCGAGCTTATGACTTATAACTAGTTGATAAGCTAATTGATAATTTATTAATAATTTTCGAGCTTATAACTTTTGGCTGAAAAGTTAACTTATATGATAAAAGTTTTGGTAAAGTTAACTGAAAGAAAAAATTTCAACAAGCTTATTTAAAAAGCTACCTAAAGAAGCTTATCAAATAAGCTTGAGCATTTTAAAAAACTGTCTTATCAAACAGAGCTTATTTGAATACATGATGCTTATAAACTAACCAAATAAGCTATAAGCTAGTTTATTTGTCTATCAAACACAGCCATAATGCAAGTAACATACCTACTTTAGAACATTCCAAAGTTGAAGGCAGTAAATAAAGTGGAAAAAAAAACGCATGAACACGTTCATGATTCCGAAGCTCCAACTTTCTTCGAGTAGCCATGACATTGAAGTTGATAGAATCTGGATTTTTCTGGATAATCTTTTGAATGACTTTAGCAGCATCCTGTTGCAGGCAGAGAGAGAGAAAGAGGTTAGACACAGTGATTGAATTGAAACTGCAAAAGACCACTAAAACGATGCAAAACAGATTTGAATTCTTCAAGGTAAGGGCAAAAAAGTCACATGTAATAAGGTGTCTGGAGAAGATGCACCGTGAGTGATTGGTCCGGCCCTCCTTCCATCAAGCTCATACAGTTGCCCTGCAAAATCCATGCAAAGGGCTTAATATTATACGGTTGCTAATGAAACAGCCATAAAAATCGAATGACAGTTTTCATACGTAGATCGGATGTTATCAATGGTTACTCGTTTGGCATTGAGTGTGAGGCTACAAACTTAATCCCAATGAAGATTGCTAGGAACTCGATGCAGTTGATGAAAACAAGAAAAAATAATCCTACTTCTCTCTAAATAAATGTGATGCACTAGTATGAGAATAACTTAATAAGTAGCACATATCTCATTCTCACTGCATTATGATTGAACAATGTTTTCAGATATGACCATTTTATGAAGAGAGATGAAAATTTTGTTCATACTTTCAAGTTCATGCTTCGACGGGGAGAAAAAGGACTCACCATTAACACATGTAAAGCAGATGAAATGAGTGTTTACATCATCTGATGCCTGTCAACACAAGGGAACACAAATTTTAAGCTTCTCTACATGGATGCCATGTTATAACATATAAAATATCGTGGATTAAAAAAAATAATAATATTAATAAGTTATTGTTTTAGGAAGTTTCTAGCCAGCAAGTGAAGTTATTTATTTAGGATACATTTGCCATGGATTTCTGACTAAAAAATTAACCCTTTACTTCCTACTATCTCAACGGCCACTTTATACTATTTTGCAGTACGCATTACATTTCTATCTAAAACAATTTCCTCCCGAGCCCAATAACAATCAATACAACACGTCCCATATGGTTCAGAAAGAATAAATGAATGTGATAATGCATTTCAAAAAGAGTCAAACATCGTGGCTAGCTTGTTTGACGAAATAATTTGTAATTTACCCGTGAGAGTGATTGCAAGAATGAAGGAGAAAGAAAAAAAGGCTAAGAATTTAAAAAATCCCATGTATTTTGAGTGTTATAATTATAATTACAAAGGCAAGCTGCATAAGCTTTGGAAAAGCGTCGTATAGCAAATTAAAATATATATAGATGTAAGAAACTTGTTGACAATTCTCCTGGCATAGTGCTAATAATGGACTAGATCAAAATGACTCAATTAAATTCTAGTGCTTTTCTATTAGTGAAGTTTCTAGAAAAAAAAAAAAAAAAATATCAAACGGCGCAATGCACCTTGGGTCGCTACGGAAACAGCCTCCTTGTATAATTACAAGGGTAAGGTCTGCGTACAACTGACCCCCAGACCCCAACCTGTTGGGAATATACTGGGTATGTTGTTGTTGTTGTTGTATAGATGTAAGAAACTTCTCTTTCACATATTTTATGTTCTATGTAACGCCCAATTGATATATTTTCATTTTCTAATAGAGCTAAGCACAAGAAGCATAGAAACTGAAAGTAAAATTATTGAGAAAGGAGATCAAGTAAATAATATAGTAATTCTAGAACATGAATGTGGAATATAAATATCATTCAAATGTCCAAATCTGACCTCTGTATCACCACCAGTAGCTGCAACTGAGTGAGCAACTTCCATTTCTCTATCATTTTCAAGAAATGAGGCACGCTGCAAAAAAACTCCATCTAGAAATTGTTACATTGAGGCAAGAGAAAAGGTACAGATAGCAAGGTGGCCAAATCTTCTAATTTGATTAAATAAAAAGGTGAAAATAATATCAGACCTCTGATGGATTCATATTTGCAGTCGTTTTGAAAAAAATGTCCAAATAAGAACCCTCAACTGAAAGAGAATACAAAATATTAAAAAAAAGGCAGATAACTACCCAAACATGATGGATCAAAGATGCAGAATTTACCGAGGGCATACGAGAATAAGAAGATGAATAACATTTTATTCAGAAGGAAATTAAATCTAAAGTTTTACCAAGTTTTATCCTGGAAGTGATATTTCCAACAGCATGAAGAAGACCAATGGTTCCACAGGCATTTCCAACAGTTTGCTTCATAAAGTAAACCCCACTGTCTGGCTCCTGTATGTATAAAATCATAAATTGTCAATAGCTACTCGATTAAACAGTAGATAGAAGGAAATAAACAACAAACGAAGTATGACAGCCTTTTACTCGATATTCTTTAGACTTAAGTGGGATATTCGAGTACTTATTTGCAAGCTAAACGGAACAGCAAAACTGATCTAATTTACAACACAAACCAAACTGCACATGAAGGCTCACTGGTATATTATATATGTGATTATGTGAAATACAGCGCAAAATAAGCCAGCAATTGATTTGATGCAGGCTGGAAACACTTTGCACTAATTCAAATCCGTATAAACATCAATCTTAACACTAGAATTTCCCATCAATCAAACCCAAAACAGCATGCATATAACACATTACTTGTTACTTCTGAAGATGAATTAAAATCAAACTCCAAAGTACAAAAATGAAAGTCAAAACTGAACTCCTCTAATGCTATCATCCCAAATACAACATAAGGCAAAAATTAAGCATAGTGGATGCAAAGCTCATTTAAGCCCATGCAAACATTTTTTATGCTAGCCAAGTGTCATAACCAAAGTCTTAAGTCCCAAATGATGAAATTCTACAGGTGACAGCAAGTATGCATCAACTTGACGGAACTCAAAAGATATCACATCCTAATACTTCTAATGTTTACCAATCATGTGTATCTAATAACCAGAAAGAGCAAAATGCAGGCCCTATTAATTGTTAAGATATAACTTACCTTTATTGCACTATCTCGTTAAATTCTCTCTTCTTCAGTCTGTGAAAGCAAAAATTGTCACATAACACGGCGCAAAACAAATAAAACCATTACAGAAACTACAAAATGCCCAACAACGTTGTGGTTGCTTTTACATCAAAACAATCCAATTTGAAAAAGATTGTAGCTAAAGATATCTATTATCTACTGAGTAGATATAAATTCATAAGCTCAAAATTCCAAATCTTCGCCACACACACACACACACACAAAATGAGGAATTTAGTGATTTCGAAAGAACTTTTTCCAGTACTCCAAAACTGTAACTTCAGAACGAGTGATTCCAAAAACAAAACAAATGCCAGCAGCACAATGCAGATAACATTTCAACAGATAAGTGACCTGTGAAGTCAAGGGATAGAGGAACAAGACAGCGAGCACAGGTTTTGGAACCATTTCCAACAATTCGCCATCGAGTCCATAAACATCGAAGCACTCGGCCTCATGCGGCGCAACACCAAGTCCCCAAATAAACTGTTCATCACAAGCTAATGTTATTAAACAAGCAACTAAGAGGCATTCAGTACACTAATTAATCCTTCGAAAGCCCAATTTAACGAATGAAACAATTCAACTGAATAATGCAACTCGCAGAGCAACTCAAAAGCCCAAACGAAACGCGGCGAAAAATGGGTAAAACTTAGGGTTCAGAGAAAATATAATCAGAAGAAATCATCAATGGAACCTGGTTCATGACGTCGGGGTTAGCTTCAAGGGGAAGCCATCTCTTATTAGCATAACTGTTCGCCATTCTTTTTTTTCCCTCCTATGATGCGCTTTCTTCCTTTTTATGGTAACCTAAGACCTTGTTTTGTAACCAGCGGTTAGCTGATTGCATTTGCTGTTTTAACCAGCGGATTGCGTTAGCTGGTTTGACTAGATGATTGTGTTAGCACTTAGCAGTTTGTAAAATCTATATATATATAATAAGAATTAACATTTAACAAAAATAGTAGCAAAAAAATAGGAGAGAATTTAATGCAACCTATAAATAGTAAGTTTTATTAATTTTTTATTTTTATCTTTAAAAATCATACAACATTAAATGTTGCATTAAATTTTGGACTTTAATTCATTTTATTATTTAAAAATTTCAGCTAAGATCTATTAAGTGTACATTTTTATTTTTTTCATAAAAATAATAAAGAACATTAAAATCTCAGTCTCTATATTTATAAAATCTCACTTCAAAAGGTAATAAAAATTTTAGAATCAGGGAAGTATCTAGAAAAATATTTGGGGGCGGGGGTGACTAGAATTGTAAATCGAACAAAATTGTCTGCGAACATAACTCGGCCTGACTAACAGGAGATACATGGACTACATGTTTTATTTATAAAATAGTTTAGAAATATTTTGGGTGACTTCACATCTTTCAATAATGATATATAAAATTTTAGATACTTCACATACGTTATATAATATTTTAGGTGTTTTTAATATTTTAAACATACATTTTTTATGTTATTTTATACAAGATAATTTTATATTGTTTACAATTGATATACGATAAAATATGTCACATATTAACTCCACAAATTAATTACAATTTTTAGTTAATATTGTTTACCTCATATTTAATTTATAATTATTAGTTAATATTGTTTACTATCATCGTTAATTTATAATTATTATTTAATATTATTTATCCGTGCGGCTACACACTAGTAGTGTTTGGTAGGATTAGCTATTTTTAATTAACTGTTAACATGCACAATTACTTATAAGGACATCAACATAATTTATCGTTATCATTTATGTTGAACTTATAATTATATAGGAAATAAAAATAATTAATATTTTAAATATTTATTAAAGTGATTAATATAATAAAAATATAAATAATAATAAAACAAAAATACTTCTTGATTGAGTAAATAAAGTTCACGTCCTATAAACAAAACTAATAACAAGTCATCACTATTTAAAAAAATAAATGTGAGCCAATTTCGATATCTCTCATAACAATTGAAAAAAAATGTATAAAAGAAAATCTAAGTAACTAAAATGTACATTAACAATTTCTTAAAGTTTCCATGTACATCTAAGTAACCAAAATTATATATATTTAAAATTTTCGAAAAAAAAGGTTGGTAAAATTATTTGTTAAGTATTATACTAGAATTAGTTGGAATTACATTTTTATATTTGAATATTTTTCTTATGTAACATTAGTTATAATTTTAAAAAACAAAATATTATTTCTATTTTTAAAATATAAAAAACGTGATATATATTTTATTGCTATAGGTTTGAATAAAAAGTTAAGAGCAGTGCACTATTTTAATCCAAGACGATTTTGACTTACGTCCCATGTGGTATGAATATAATAATAAAAGGGCAATTAAGACTTTTAATTCTTTTTTCTCAAACCGCTGAATCAAAACGCTAGGAAAAGCAGTGTTTTCCATTTTAGCGGATTGGGCCAAAAAAGCTAATTGAAAAAGCTGTTTACCAAACATATTTTTCAGCTGATTGTAAAAAGTCAAACAGCTAAAAAGTTCAAAAAGCTCTTTTAAGGCCAAAAAGCTATTAAACAAACACAGCCTAATAATAATGAGCCGATGGAAACAGTAAACAAAAAAAAAAGCTTCTACGATTAATTATTGTTTTATTATTTTCTGTATTGCGGTAATTTCAATTATTAGCTAAATTAATAATTTTAAATTTAGCTTCCTTGTGTACAACAACCTCGGCCGGACTCGAACGGCTTGGATCTGCTCTAGATCAGTTCGATATACCTACAAAAGAGAGTCGGGAGTGGTCCGACGTGGAGCCTCCGACAATCAAATCTTAAAATGTATAAGGAAATGATGGACAGTAGCAATATAGTTTGTATGTATATAATAGTGTGTAGAGAAGTTCTATTGTCGGGACAAGATAGAGAAGTTCTTGTCGTCACACAATATGACGTCTGCCAGTATAAAATTGGATTCGCGCAAACTCTACGGGCTATTGGTACAACACTACCTTTCATGCATCTACCAAGTTCACTCCTTTTGAGCTAGTGTATGGTCGGGCGACTCCGACACTTATCAGCTATCTCATGGGGAATCTCTAAATGTTGAGGTAGATAGAGTTAATGGAGCGGGACTTTATGATTTGGGAACTTAAAAGTAATTTGCACGAGTATAAATCGTATGAAGGAATATTATGACAAGGCCGATGAGGTGAGAAATTTAATCCGGGCAATTGAGTTTGCTTGAAATTACGGCTACATCACCAACAAACGATTTGTCGAAAGGCATTATATAAGCTCGATAGTCGTTGCTATGTGCCGTATCAAATCAAGGAAAGAGTGGGCGAGGTGACGTAAAGGCTCGATGTTGATCACCATAGGCTCCAAGCGCGGTTGCCGACGGTGAATGCAGAGGGCAATCTTATTGTTGGCAAGGGAGCCCAATGAGAAAATGGGCTTTGGAAAGCCCAAACAAGCAAGCAACCCAGAAATACTTTACCTTCAACGGGCCCCACGCGTTGCAAGTGCAGTACAAATTTTACTGCAGGTCCATAGTAACATACAATGCACCAGCCCCCACACAGTCCCCATCCGCCCTAGGGTTTTATCCAGATTAGGTTATCACCTTCACTTCATTCCCCATTTTATCACTTTGCCGCATTCACTTTCAATCAGCCCCCAAAGCACATTTTTCTCCATTATTTTCCATTTTAATGGATTCCTGCAACTAGGGCTCATACCTTTTCATCTGAATCTCAACCTTTAGATCCTGGTTTTCTGTATTGGCTCACCTTGTTCATCTTTGAATTTGAGGAGATGGCCACTTTAAACCCTTTTGGGCTTCTGGGTGATGACGACGCCGAAGACCCATCGCTGCTTCTTGCTGCCCAGAAGAAAGCTCCGGCGCCGGCTCCTGCTCAGCCCAAGAAAGATCCAGCTAAGGCTAAACCCGAGGCTAAGCTGCCAACTAAGCCAGCTCCTCCGGCACAGGCTGGTGAGAAACCGGAAAGCAGTTTGGTTGTATTGAAACGTGTTGGGTAGCTTTATATTCTTGTTATTCTTTATTCTTTATTTTTTTATTGTAATGGAGAAATTAACTGTAGGTGGTATTTGTTTTAGTTCGCATCGAATGGTGGTTTTGTATTGTGGAGATATTCACTCATAACTATAGTTAGTTCATTCATTCTTCTGTTCTTATTATTGCTCGTTTCCATGTTACTCCTTGCTATAATTTTTTATTGTTCCATGATATTAGTAGGCCATATAACTGTCTTGGATCGATAAACAATGAGTAGCTGATGATAGGGTCTCCAATTACGAAGAACTTTTGTTTCTGCATGATTCTCATTTATGTCTTATGTTTATTCTATAAAGTCAATCACTACATTTGATTTTCCTGGTCTGGTTAGTGATAACTTGATTTCATTTACCGATTTCTTGAACCTGTGTATCCAAAACCATCTTCCCTAAAATGCGCCATGCTTTCTTTCTTTCTTTCTCTCTTTTTTTTTTTCTGTGTGTGTGTAACTGAATAGAAGAAGGTGTGAGTTTTTTGCCTCTTGTTTTGTACTCATGATTTATATAATGTTTTTTTTCAGTGAGGGAGTTGAGGAATGAAGGCCCTCGTGGAGGCCGTGGTGGTGCTCGTGGCCGAGGTGGCCGTGGATACAACAACCGAGAAACACTTGACAGTGAGAATGCATTTGGAAACAGCAATGGCTTTTCTGGGGGCTACAGTAAGCCTTCTGAGGATGGAGATGGTGGAAAGGCTTCTTCTGAAAGGCGTCCGTATGGTGGGCCCCGCGGAGGCTTTCGTGGTGGTCGTCGTGGTGGTTTTAATAATGAGGAAACTTTCGATGGCCGGAGATTGTACGAGCGTCGCAGTGGAACTGGGCGCGGGTGAGTTGGGTCTTGTGTTTGTATACAAATAAATCAATTTTTTACTGATTTTTTGGTGGTTAATTATGGTTAATTTTGGAAAAGTTGGTTTGGTTAGTTTTTAGAGGGATATTAAAATAATATTTAAAATAAAATGATTTAAATTGATTTGATGTAGAAATAGGAGAGAGATTAATAGTGAATTACGTGAGTGGATGAATAGTGAATTAAATTTAATGTGATGTGTAAGGATGAATAGTGAATTAAATTTAATGTGATGTGTAAGGATTATTGATTCATAGTAGTTAACTATATTGATTGTATTGATAATATTGACAACAGTCGGTTGAGTTAAAGTAGAGATAGATTTTGAGTTGAGATTAGTTTTTTTGTTGGTAAATTAATACACAAACAAGCCCTTGATTTATCATACTTTCTTCTTGTTTTTTTCCTCACTTTTTGCTTTTAAGAATGAACTCACAACAAATTTTTGCATGTATGTTATTGCTGTCTTGTTTATTCTTCATCGATGAACCTGCAGGAATGAGTTCAAACGTGAGGGTTCTGGGCGTGGAAATTGGGGGACCCCCACTGATGAGATTATCCCGTAAAGACTGGTTCTTTTCTCTTGTATTTTTGCTTGTTGCATTGTTTGTATAATGTTTGTTAATCTGTTTTCTTTTCACCAAATTATGAATTTTAGGGAAACTGAGGAACCCATAAATGAAGTGAAGAATGTTGAGGCTGAAAAGGAACCGGGGCAAGAAGATGCTGGTGATGCTAAGAAGGATGCTCCTGCTAATGAACAGGAAGAAGCCGAGCCCGAGGAGAAGGTATAATTGTAGTGAACGAAGCAAATAACAATGCTCTTTTTGTAACTTTTCGGTTTTTTTCTAGAAGAGTTCAGTGTATTTCAGAGATGAAGCATTAACTATATATTTATAATCACAGGAGATGACATTGGAGGAGTATGAGAAGGTACTTGAAGAGAAAAGAAAGGCTTTAGTTGCTCTGAAAGCCGAGGAAAGAAAAGTCAACGTGGATAAAGAGCTTGAATCGATGCAAATTCTATCCAACAAGAAGAATGATGATGAAGTGTTCATTAAATTGGTGAGTAAAGCTGGTCAATCACTAAATGCCTATCGTATATCATAGATATGTAGCTGGTTAATGTGTATTGTGCTGAAATTGTGAATAACTGAACAGGGATCTGATAAGGATAAGCGCAAAGAGGCAGCTGAGAAGGCGAAAAAGGTACATCTTTGTCCTATAGTGTAAAGCATTATGCTTCTACCATAACAGTAACTGAAATTGACCTATAGGACCTTTGAATTAATTCGAGCAAAGCATTATTCGGTAGTTATTAGTTTTTAACATGTAATTTTCATTAATTCATGAACTGTCGGACCAGGGCCTATTTGCATTTCTCATGGTGGGTGTGGGTATCATAGCTACAAGAAACGAATAGGAGTGTTAATGAACAGGAGTGTTGACGACTAGAGAGGATAACATAGAAAGTATAGGGAATAACTTTTTAACCAAAATAATTATGTTAAAAATGTTTGCCATGCTCATATCCTTTTATGACGTGCTGCTCAGTCGATTTTTACATTTGTAGATTTGCAGAATATGTTAAAAAAGGTTTGCCAATCTTACACACCATTTTCGTGTCAATTAATGAATCTGTAGCTTTCAAGAAATTCCCGTGAGGTTTTCGTGTTTAGTGTGCATTTTTTCAAAACTAAGATATGTAATGTAACATGCACTTCTCTCCTTCACTTTGAGAAGTAATGTCTCGTTAGATTCTTGCGCATTTGGTCTTGTTATGCATTCTTCACCTGGATGGATACTCCTCAAAGCTTTACAAATGGATCTTAGCAAACGGTTTAAAACCGTTAGTCCTCGTGTGAAAAGTCGATACAGATGTGAATTTCCTTGTGGGACACTGCTCGTGCAGAGTATCCAAATTTGAACCTTCGACCCCTTTAAAATATCTTACTTTGTTCGTTCTCTCTTTCATTCTGTTCGTTAATGCGAATTTTGAATAGTTCTGAATTCTAAGCTTGCTTTGTTTTTGTGATAGTCCGTGAGCATAAACGAATTTCTGAAGCCTACGAATGGGGAGAATTACTACAGAGGTGGCGGGCGAGGAAGGGGACGTGGCCGTGGGGGCAGAGGAAGTGTTGGCAATGATCACGGCTTGCGGGCCCCAGCTATTGAAGATGTTGGGCAGTTCCCTTCGCTCGGTGGCAAGTGAAGTGGTGCATAAGCCCACCAGCTAAATGGGCCTGAGTGTTACACTTTGTGCTTGTTCTTGTTGGGCCCATTTGGTTGGTGAGGCACTAATGGTGTTTTTGTGAGAAGTCTTGCATTTCAGATATTTTAAAAAAACTTTAATAGAAGTTTCAGAGTGTAAATTTAGATGTATCCCAGGGGTTTTTGGTGCTCTTGGTGCTTCATGATATGCTTTGACTCTCTTTCCAGCACACATCTAGGTTATCAGGCAGCCTTTTATCCTTTTTATCCTTTTTTTTCCTTTCTGTTTTTTTTTTGTTTTTCTTTACATGCTCAATTTGGGTCGATCGGATCAATTTTGTCGTGGAGTTAAAAATTCATAATAATTTTGTTCCAACGTGAAATTCATGTTCTCTCTTTTGTTTTGGTTGCTTTTGTGTTTATTAGGCGAGTAAGTGGTTGATAATGAAGTTATATTGTTTATATTTGTGAATGGAGTTGGAGAAAACATGCTGCAGATGAAAACGTCCATTTTGGAGTTGGTTTTCTGGATGAGTCAACATATGTTTGAAATTTTGTTTTAAGCACAAATTTAACTGTTCATTTGGTGTTTTTACCATAATATATATTCAAAATTAATTTCCATTTTGCGCATAATTTTCCAAATTTCAACACCCTCAAGCCTATAGTTCAACACCCTCAACTTGTATTAGTTCAATTTTGTCCAATGCAAATGTTTCCACGTACATTGCTTTTCATCTATTTCTAGAGAAAGAGCAAGAAGAAGAATCAAATTAGCTGTCTCAACTCAGGCAAACTGTGAAAAAGTACGCAACATTTGAAGATGTTCTGACGGTGATATGAGACCAACCGAGCATGATATGTCATTTGAAACCTGCATCCTGGAAATTCAGTTACGCTACAAAATAATCCGAGTACATTTTTGTATTCAGTCAAGTGCTTGAAACAACCGAACACAAAATTCACTTTCATAAAAAATATGATTAGAACCATAGGAAAGTGGCTCGTGGTGTCCCTGAAGTTATGAAAGAAAAACCAGTTTCGCCAGTGATTATATTGCCCTATTTGCATGAGGAAGAGCAAAAGAGGACCAAACATCAGCTTCAGCTTGAGCAGCAGCCGGAACTTTGATTCACAGGCTGTCATCTGATCTGTACAGTCGGAGGTCTACCATTATTCATCCCTGGCTGACTTGCCATTCTGACACCAAAAAATCCCACTTTCAGATAAAAAGATTTCTCGAGTGTCAATTTATTATCCTGTTGGGATCGGACACTCGGGTATTACTCTGTTGGGGTCTCTTTAGTTTTCTAGTGTTTTTGTGTGTTAGTGTTTTGTGTGTTTGTGAGTATTACCTCGTTGGAGTCGGTTCTAGGCGGTTTCTCGACCAGTCCTCCCAGTTTATTCAGTTGTTAGCTGTTTGTATTCAGCTGTTGGTTGTGTTTATTCAGCTGGTGGCTAGACTTTTACACATGCGTTTTTTATATAAAATTTCTATCGTTTTGAAAAAAAAAAAAAGATGCAAAGATTTAGGGCGTGCTTGGACACAAATATATCCGCTCAAAACGAGTTTTTTTTGTTAATCAGAGTTAATTTTGAAAAAGTAGGTGAGAGATGATGTGAAGTGATGATTAGTTAAAATTATGTGAGCGGATGAATGGTAAATTAAAGTTGATGTGATTTGTAAGAATGATTGATTTTTATTATTTAATTTATTAATAATATTGAAGATACTGGAGTTGGATTAAAATTGAGTTAGATTTTAAGTATGAATTGAGTATGGATTGAATTATTTTATAAACAAACACACCCTTATATATCACAAATCGGTTAATTATAAGTTGCACCCACGAGGAAGGCTTGAAGTTATCGGATTTTTCATAACACAGATTCAATTTGACAATCCCTTGCATTTGTGCGAGTCCCAAGTTTCATTATCAAGCAATTTATTCACGAGATGCTTGCATAACAAAAACTACTTCTTAAGTACATAATTTTTTACATGCCATGATAGTGATTCTTACCTGTTCTTAATAGCTGCAGACATAGCCATGAATGCCTGCTCAACATTAGTGGCATCTTTTGCACTAGTTTCCAGAAAAGGTATCCCGATTTCATCAGCAAGTGCCTAAAGTTAAAAAACATCGATATTCATGTTTAAAAAACAAGAAATTATTTGATCTGGCAAGAAATCTGATTCCAGACTTGAATCGAGCACTCTTACTTACCTTGGCTGTCTCAGTTGAAACAACTTTCTCTGATGTGAGATCGCTCTTGTTTCCAACAAGTAGCTTATTAACATTGTCACTCGCATATCGGTCGATTTCATTCAACCATTGCTTCACGTTGTTAAAACTTAAAACTCTCTTGATCAGTCACATCGTAAACCACCTAGTGACAAATACAGCCAGAATTAGGCTACAAATCCACTTGGATCTACAGTTGGTGTGAAAAGCGGATAAATACTTACAATGATGCCGTGGGCCCCACGATAGTAGCTGCTCGTAATTGTCCTAAATCGTTCTTGTCCAGCCGTGTCCCACTTCACATACCCAAATATTGGAAAATAAGCTTAAGGCATTATGTCAAACATAAACACTCAGATGTAAGGAATACCAATTACTTACTATTTGTAGCTTAATTGTTTTCCCATCCTGCTCCACTGTGCGAATTTTCTGTAGCGTAGAATAAAGGGGCAAATTATCTTGAGAATTGAACTCCACAGTGGGGTTATTAAAAAGTTCAAAATAGAGATTGCGTTTTAGAGTTCAAAATAGAGATGACGTACAAAGTCCACGCCGATGGTACTAATGTAACTATCAATATAAGAATCATCCTGAAAAAAGAAAAGATAAGAAAATGATGTTAAAGAAGCCAACGTGATACCTCCATGCAGAGAAAACACTTATTAATCCATGGAGTAACTGTATAAGAATAGTGATCCGCACAACAATATCTGCATATTGAAAAGCATTCGTACTAACATGAATACATATATAAATATCTAGCATGGAAGTGGTAGAAGTTGCATAAGGGACCTAGATGAAGCTTGGGGTTTAATTTGGAAAGGATAACTGGGACCAAATCTGATTACTCATTCATCTTTCAAAACTACAAAATGAACATTGTGTAACGACTAACGACTAACACTCTAATTATCGGGATTGCTTGTGGAAGTTCAAAAGCAAATAGGTCCCTCTCTCTCCTTTTCGCTTATAACAATAAATTCTCTCAGAATCTAACATATAAGACCATAAATCCACTAAGTACGAAGTATGTTAATGTGAGCAATTTGTGTCTAGTAAGTACCACTTACCAACTAGAAGGATCATACAAAAACTTTTATAAGTTGCAAACACGAAACACTCGTCTGATAAAGAACTTACAGCAAACCTCAGAAGAAGAGATGATTTGCCTACGCCAGAATCTCCAATAAGCAAAAGCTTAAAAAGGTAGTCACTGTACATAAAAAAAAAAAACGAAAAAAGAAAATGAACTTAGAACCCTTCCAGTATCATTTGGCAGCAGCACATAACCGAAAACTTCTAACAACACCAAATCATTAATAAGATTTTAGCTAGAAGACATCCCAACAATTATCTGAACAGTTCGAATGAAAAAAGAAAAGAAAAGAAAAAAAACAGTCGGGCATTGTGAAAGCAAGGTAATTTCTCCATACCAAGAAAAAACTTTTATCATTTCTTTATCTAAACAAACATTAAAAATCAAGGTACAAGATCGCAAGGAAACTGAATACCACCATTTTTTCATGTAAACCACCAAAAAAAACAGCAAACAACAGTTCCCCAAAACCCGAAATAAATAATAATAAAAAAATCATGCTACAATACTAATTCCTCTGCAAAAACACAATTCTGCCACATATAACATATAATCGCAAACAGACAAACAAAAGCAGCTCCAAGCGTCCTGAATCCAATTTTTCATGTCTTCTCCGTTCTCATCCAATCGACCAACATATACACAGATAATATGAACCCTAGATTAACCGATTTCCAATCGCATCAAAATATCACAAATCTAAAGTGATCAAACAAAGCAAAAACCAGCACAACAGCATCGTCGGCAACGAAAACCGACAAGCTAAGATTGCGATACTCAAAAAAACTATCGTCCAGATGGAAAAAAGAGCGTACTATTCTGGATTCATGACCGGGTCGGAATCTGAAAATTTCGGCACTACGACGGCTCGACGGCGGTGATATTATCGGACTGATTCGATTTCCGATAACGACTTGGGCAGTTGCGTATACGGATAATTTTTTCAGCTTGTGGAGCTAAATAAAATGTGGAAATTGTATGAATGCAACAACATATATACTCTTTGTTTCTTCTCCAAATTTGTATATTTTGTTTTCTGCCAAACTTTTTTTCTGTCTGTCAAAAATCATTTACCGAATAATTTTAATTAATTTAGTAATATTTTTAGTGCACGATGATTTCTTTTCAATATTATACATATTCTTTTTTAACCTATGAAGCACTTGTACAAATACGAGGGATATGGTTGTGATACAATATGGATATGTGGATATAAAAAAATTTTAAAATTTAACGTAGTATATTGTTATTTTGTATAAAATATATATGTCTATATTATAAAAGAAAATATAAATTTTATTATTCAATCACAACAAAAAAGTATGTTCAATCAAACAAAAATAAAATAATATAGGTGGTCACATACGAAAAGTACTCCTTCATAACATATAAAGTCATCCTCACACAAGTGTTGGTAACATATTGATAAATACTCTTAATGGGTGATGGATTTTAGGCGGCGTTCACATTGATCCTATACATAGAGCTATTTGAATCGAGCTGTTCGTGAATATATTTGAGTTTGTTTCATGAAAGCTCAAAATCAACCCGTGTGTCTATTTAAACAATTCGAGATCAAATTAGCTAAACGAGTTTGTTTATAAAATGAGTCGAATCTAACTCGTTTGCGAGCATTTTTTTTATATATATGTTTTGGAAGAACAATTGAGTTCAACATGTTAACAAAATGAACAAATCATATATGTTCGACCTCATTTAAGAATTTGAGTTTAATTATGTGTGATTCTATGGGGAATCTCACAATTATGAGATTAAGTAAAGTCAAGTTTGGATGTTAGTGGATTGATGTAACACTAGCGATTTTGACTTCTTTAAGAAGTTGACTCGTCAAATTCTCTAATTAGTTTATTTGGTGAAGACCTTATCAGATTAGCTGTTTGGCCCAAAATGCTAATTTTTAAAAAGCTCATATAACACTTCAGATTAAATATCAAATATTTGACTAATAAATTCTTATTATCTATTTGTTTTAAGTAGATTGCCTAAATATTTGATTTTGAATCTGTAACAATTGTATTATATAAGATCAAAATTAATTATTATTTTTTAATTATTTTAATTTTTATTTGGAAAAGGCAAAATAAACTAATATTGTGGGATCTAAATTTTGAGAAGATTTTTCACAAATTACTTCATACCTCATTAATGATTATCCCCAAATTTCATTGATCTTCCTAACTTAGACCCCCAAAAAAACTAGTATATTGGAGACATAACTGACATAAAGAGATACTATGACCGATTCAATAAATTAATTTTCACGTAAAATATGTTGGAGAAATAACTGACTATATAAAATAATTTTCATATGGTGCCATGTGATACTTGTACGTAGGGCTGAGCACGGGCTTCGGAGAATTCCGAGCCGTTTCGAAAACCGGACCGAAATCACTTCGAACCGAAAAATATTCGTTGATCATTTGACTTTCTCCGAACCGAATCGAACCGAAAAAATAATTGGTACCGTTCTTGATATTTCATAAATATCCGTACCGAGAACTTAACTGAACCGTCTCGTACTGTACCGAACCGAAGAACCAAATTATAAAAATAAATGTGTGTTATTAATATATTTTATGTCAACTTTGATCCTATATAATTTGAGAATTTTTAAAATGCAAATAAAATATAGTAATAACAATTAAGATTCACTTACATTTTATGATTAGCAATACTTGATCTACAATTGAATTTCTTATGTATAAAAAAAAATTAAAATAGAATGAAAGGTTAAAGATTTAAAAAATAAAAATAGTTAAGTTTTACATAAAGTTGTCGATACTTAGGCTTAGTTTATATTATAACTAATATGGTATGGGAAGTTAAATAAATATTACTTTAATATGAAACTATATTAGATTTTGTTTGATATTTAGGCGTGTGGCCTGACGATGATTCCCCTTAGAGGGGTCCTTTCCCGCCAACACGCTGTCCTTCATCGCTGCGAGGTCGGAAAAAAATGGAAATAGTGATTCAAGATCTAGATGGAGTTTGACTTCATAAGTTAAGATTGCACAAGTGACCTGCATCAACCTCTTTTCTTTACTAGGCTGCCGCTTGAGCCCGTGGGAAAGTGGGTTGAAGGGAAGGTACTTGTACTATTCACTCAAAAATTTTCAATGTTAATTGAATTTAGTCTTAACTAAAATTTAGGGTTATTTCTAAAGTTGATTTTAAAATAAAATCTTTAGTATGATGAAGTATTGATGAATGTTGGATTTAAAAAATATATATATATAAAAATAAAATATAACTAGGTGGTCATTCAAAAAAATTTAGAAAATGATAAGAAATCTCCAAATATCCGAACCGAACCGAACCAAACTGAGCCGAACCGTTATGATAGTCCCGAAAATCAAACCGAACCGAACCGATTTTTTGGTACGGTTCTGGAGATCAAATTTTAGTGATATCCAAACTTCGGTACGGTTCTGGAGATTGATAAATCTCCAGAACCGTACCGACCCATGCTCACCCCTACTTGTACGTGACATTTATTACCCTATTAAGCATTTTTCGCTTACCCATTTTCAATAAAAAATATTTTCATGTTGAAAGAGCCAACAACTTACTAAGAAAAATTATAAAATAAATCATATTATGAAACAATTTTCTTTTCCATTGAAATTTTGTTTATTGATAAGATTTGTCGGTTTGATTTTTAACGAAGTTATAATTTAATGAGGAGTTATTTTATAAATTATTTGTTGATGTAAGCAAACAATTTACAACGCATGCATGAAGCGCCAGTTTTTCAAACTTGGTTTAGAAAGTCTTAAAAAAAAACACTATTCTATATATATAATACATGTACATGTATAAGTAGTGTTGTGACAACTCAAAATACGAGTGTTTTAAGAAGAAAGTAGATGTAGAATAACATGTTAATATAAAATTTTCAAAATAGCTATATAATTTGCTATTTATCAAATAAGTTTTTACATAATACAATCCATTTATTTATCCAACGATTATTTACAAACAGTTACTACAATCCATTAGTCAAATTTTCTATTATAATATCATAATATGCTATTAACTATTAATTAATACAATATATATATATATATATATATATATATAATTGCTAGCAAATAGTAATGCAATGAAGAAAACCTCATAAATTATACCTACGTGACACATAACTTTCCAAAACGGATTCTTTTAATTAAGACAAAAACTGTTACATTTTATATTAATTGAGTAATAATTATATTTTTTATTGTATCATATAATATTTATTATTATTAGAATTAATAATTATATTTTTACACTAAATGATATATAAAAGTTACACAAACATAAAAAAAAACTTTTTGTTCAAGATATTTATTTTAAAATCAATATTATTTTTTTATCTGATTAAGCGATTTTTTTAACTAAATTAATTTATTTTAATGTCATAGTAAAATTCCTTAAAATTGCATGAGCAATTTCATATTAAATATAATATTTTTCAACAAATTAATTGGTAATGATCTCTCAAAATTATAAATATTTTATACTATTTATTACATTTTATGCAATCAATATAGTGATTCATATACAATCAAATAATTACGTACTATTTATGTTAACCAATTAAAAAATTTTTAAACTTAATACTATTATCTTACTTATAATTTTAATATTATATACATAAATATAACTTATAATACTCTATTTTAAAATTTAATACCATTATTTAACTTATTATTTTAATATTATATGTATATAAATAATTTATAACACTTTATTAATTATGTATGTGGAGAGGGTAATACTAGTCATATATATATATATAGCTAATAGCCACGTGCAATAGTCAATGCTTATCTCCCAATTTGGCCTAATTTCATGCAAGTCAATGATCCATCTCCCAATTGGCCTACTTTCTGCTTTATGACACGCTTTGGAAATTTGACTAATAGCAAAAAATGAAAAGAAAAATACTATTTATGGGCTAATAAAACTATAACTACAATTAACAACCAGATCGTGCGGACCAAATCCACCAGCAGCACCCCGCGTAAAATCAAAGCAAACAAGCACATTATCTGCTCCTAAATTCAAAGCAATTGCCCTTTTTTTCCGGTTTCATCTTTGATCGGAAAATCTTAATCTATTTGGCCGGCGATGTACCGGACGGGGAGCTCGGGTCGTGTCTCCGACGAGTTTTTCTCGAGCGCGACTAAAACGTCGGCCCAAACAGCTGACGGCGATCACGAGCAGCAGCAGCTTCTTCCGACGCACAGACCGGAATCTCACCCGCCCAAAAAGGACAAGATTCGATTCAGATCTGCTGAGACCGCCGTGCACTCCATCCCTCTGGTGCTCATCCTCTGCGCCGCCATCTTGTGGTTTTGCTCTGCACCAGGTGATTCCTTAGTCCTTAAAATTATTTTTTTCATTTGCAATCAGTTTCTGTACTCTGTTCGGTGAATGATGTGAATTTTCTTTGAACTATTTGAATTTCGTCTGTCGATTTAGTTTTCTGAGCTGATTTCTTCCCTTTTAGGTTAAATGATTTGGAGATTTTTTTTTAATTGAAATGGTTGGTTTTGATGATTCATGTTGAATGATCTGAGTACTGCTATGTATAGACTATAGATGATGGTTGACTTGAAGATTTGTATATTGAGAGGTAACTATTGTTATAGGATTATGCCAATGAGGTCCATAAAGAAAAATACAGTTGCTTGGTTAACTGTCTCAATCTGTTTCTCATGGCAATGAATGGATTACTTTAGATATAATCTGCAAAAACAGTAGGGGTTAGTCGAGTCTGAGATCAAGGCACGGAAAGATGGTGAATCTAACTTAATCTTTTAAATTCTAATATATTTTTATAAATGTCGATTGCAGTAAGCAAAATCCAGTAATCTAGATAAGGTCGAACTTTTTCCTTCTTATCAAAGTAATGTCAAATTGCAAAGGTATATTATTCTTTTTAGTTTCGTTTTGCCTGATCAGTCGAATAAAAAAAAAAAGCGAATCATTCCTTTGTTTTGTGGAAAGAACCAATCAGGTAACATATCATCCCAAAAAACTGATTCTGGAAAGAAATGACTTTTCTAAAGACGAAAGGTTTGACCGAAATATGGACCTAAAATCACGAGTAGCACAAAATACCGAGAAAACTTGGTTTTTTATAGCTCATTGTAGAAATCAATCGATAGTTCTGCTCTGTGTGTGATGTTTTAGTTTCTGTGGAGAGCAATGATGTGGCAGTAGTAGGTTGCATTTAGAGTGTCGAGATACAGAATAACGACGAGTCAATAACTTCTGTCAAAACCGAATTCCGGACAGCATTAAGTTGGGAGAAAATGGTATATTCCCAGTTGCTGTTGGTCCTAACTTAATTCATTTGCTACTGTCAATTTTCTAATGCTCTGATTACCTTTTCCCTTTTTTCCTCGACTACTATCATTTTTCTTAGTGTTCAGCTTACTCTTATCTAACTACCTTACTGGAAACTTTCGATTAGCTTCTAAATAACATCTATATATTCATATGGCAGTTGATATGAGCGACTCCATTGCTGCCAGAGTGAAGATTTAGATGATTGGTATTCGAACAACAGAGTTTTGCTGAGAGCTGCCAGAGTGAAGATTTAGATGATTTGTATTCGAACAGAGTTGCTGAGAGTTATTTCGAGCCAGTTGATTTGTAACAGATTAGATAATACAATAATACAAGCAGCAGTACATTACATCATGTTTACTACATGCCGAAGAGTTTCCAGATCATTGACATTCATTTGCAATTGAAAATATACACAGCCTCTTTTTATAATTCGAGTATAATGTTATTCTTGTTTGCATACACTCAACCATAGATTACATGTTGCTGGCACGGATATGTGCGAAAATCTGTCATTTCGTCTAGATAATACATATTCAACTTGTTTTACACCAACATGTCAATTTGTCTTGTCAAATTGGAGAGGCTCAAAATCGAATTTTGTATGTTCTAGCATGGACCCAAGCTTAACTAGCTTAGGTACGAGTACATTGTCTCTCAAAGAACACACCACCGAGTTCTCAAGCTGCAATAAGGCACCAACAAGATTTGCGCGTGCCGTTAATGGAAATATCCGTGGCCACCTTTGTTCTCCATACGACCTAAATGCATCTTCCACATTGAAAGTTCCGGTTTTCACAGCCTCTGCAAGTAATCCAGTTAGGACAATAGCATCTTCTAGTGCACAACAAGCGCCTTGCCCAAGATTTGGTGTCATAGGATGCCAAGCATCGCCAACTAGGACGACCTTTCCTTTTGAAGATGGAGGGCTTACTCCCGGCCAAAGCCACCGGTCGACAAGAGGGGTTCTTATAATTGTGTCGTCCGGTGAGGATCGAATGACGTCCAAAAGCTCTGTGGGCCAATCTTTAACTAGTGTTTCGGTTTCTTGCCTCAAAATGGATGGATCGGTTATCTTTGTACCTGCATTAGAATTTTGTAAGAAAGATGGTTGTTTCGTTTTCGGCCAAATGTGTGATGAAACATTATAAGCATGAAAAAACTTTATAGGATAGCAAATAAATACGATAAACAGGTAATTGGTGGTATTCTGATCAGTCTATGTTTGGTAAACCTAGCTGAAAAGTGAATTTCGAGCTTATAGCTGATAGCTTATGGATTATTGCTGAAAAGCTAGCTGATATGATAGAAGTATTTGGTAAAATTAGTTGATAAGTCAGCTGAAATAAACGGGCTTATTTGTGTTTGAAAAGCTACCCAAAAAGAAGCTTACGAGATAAGCTTGAGCTTTTTAAAAAAACTCGTTCTACCAAACCAGACTTATTTAAATACAAGAAGCTTATAAGCTAATCAAATAAGCTATAAGCTAGCTTATGGTGCTTACCAAACACACACTCTAAGCCTAGACATAAAACGGCTACATTTTTTGTTTGAAATGAAAGAAAAGAAAGAAAAGGAGAAAAAAAAAATGTGTCCTCCTCTCCACAATATGCTGATTGATGCAAAGGTTGACAACATGCATATAGTTAAACAAATCCTTGAGAATCATCATCATGCTTCAGGATTTTTTTCATTCAAGAAATAGTAAAAAGAATGAGCATAACAGTTTTTTGAAGCATATGCCTGGAGATGGGCTGTTGAAGCAGACAAACCAGTACACTTTCGTATGGGAAACTGGCACGTACGCTGCACGCACTCCTCTTCCATAGATATAAGTTACTCTGGGCTCAAATGGTTGCCCATTAGGGTAATATCCCAGCCCACGTAAAGCACAGTACCCGACATATCTTGCATCCGGAAAGCCCATCCATTTGGCCACTGGAGATCGTATCCCGTCACAAGCAATAACAATCTAAAACTCGAAAACAAAATCCTTAGCACATGTGAAATGTTCGCAAACTTAATTTTTTTTTTTTTTTTTTGNGAGTTGGAGATATACTGATAAAGCTAAAACCTTAGATGATATCTGGGATTCGTCCTCAAGTCTCAGAATGGTTTCACCATTTTCACTTGTTTCGATGTTTTTCAAGTTGGAGGAGAACGAAATTGCGTTCGGGGGAAGCTGGGAAGCAAGTGTCTCTAACAGAATTCTCCTTTCTACAGCACGAACCTCTTGACTGCACTGTTTCCCATGTTAATGGTCAAAACCTCAACACCACAACTATATTTGAAAGGAAGAGTTTTTTTTTTCTTTTTTTCTTTTTTTTACCTTGGATCCTCGTCTTCAAAATTGAAGGACCGTAACTTTCTTCCACTCGCTGATCTCACCACGATCCTGCACAGGTCAGAAACTATTCCGTTGCTATGTGTGAAGGAGAAAAGGATAAAGTGCAGGCGCAAGATTTTAAATGCCGATAGACTACACATTGGAAAACAACTGATGCACGAAAGAGAACTCTCAGGGTGCGTTTGTTTATAAATTATTTCAACTCATACTCAATTCATACTCAAAATCTAACTCCACTTTAACTCGATCCCACTATTTTTAATATTCTCAATATAATTAAATAATATCAAACAATCATTCTTACACATCACACCAACTTTAATTCACTATTCATCCACTCACATAATTTTAACTACCCATCACTTTACATCATCTATTTTCTACTTATACATCAAATCAACTTTAATTATTATTTTTTTAAATATTATTTTAATATAAACTCAAAATCACACTAACAACTAACCATACCAACTTTTTCAAAATTAACTCTAGTTAACCAAAAAAACCCGTTTTGAGCGGATATATTTATATGCAAGCACGCCCTCACTCACTCATTCCTGTTCCAGATAACCGGCTATAGGTTATCAAGCCAATCTTTTGAGAGTTTGACATGCATTAGAAGGGAAATCTTCATTTTTGTGTTAACTATACCCAGCAAACCTCTACATTATGTATCACATTCACAGCTGACTCTCATCTTAGCCATAATTACATAAGGATCTATACTCTTTGCTCTCACGAACTCCATATGAATTTCATGAACTACACTAGCAAGAAGACTCACGAACGATTTGATTACTTGATCACAGAATACCCTTTTGACCCACTCGCCAATACCATAACAGGTACACAAGCAAAGGGTCAAAAGATGGCAACCATTCGACAGATAGACGAAAATTTGGAACCGAGTGAGTGTGTATAGTTTGAAGAATCATATTCTTTCAAATTACCAGTTACCACCGTTTCTTGAATTGGGCTTGTTAGTCAATTGATCAACACTGTCATCAACTGTTAATTTCTTCAGAATTACGTAGGTTACAGAACAATACAGGGAAAAAAAAATAAAAAAAAATCAACAAGAACACTTTCAAAATTACCCTTGAATTTCGAGGAATTGGCTCCTCAGCTGGCTCCCTACCCCAATAGCATCCAAAACTTTCCATCCATTCTTGAAGAAGGTAAGCGAAGTTCCCCCAGTCCTTAGCGACTCGGCTTGCTCCAGCACCAACGACCCTATTCCAACCCTTTTTTTTTCTCCAAAATACGAAACAAACGAATAAAATTTGCAGAAGCACAAAAGGCCCAAAATTTAATCAGAGTCATTTTTCCGACTCGGACAATCAAATTAACGGTTACCTTTGCAGAGCCACCGCCGTAGCTAAGCCAGCAACTCCGGCGCCGACGATAACTATATCTTCTTTCCTGACATCAGGTTCAGCGCCGGCCATTGACGCGGTGCAGATGGGCCGCCGTCTCACTCCGATTTGGGGCGGACCAAGCGTCGGCGGCCACTTTTGAGGTATTGTAACCAGAGCCGCCATGGTTGAAGCTTGACAGAGCATCACCAATTGCTAGGGTTAGTTGCGTTTGAGCCATAATGGGAAATTGAGGCCACTGTGTGGCGGATATTTCACCATACGAAAAGGTTCTCATGGACGATGATGTGCTGAGCATTTGGATCCACACCCGCCGCGAAAATTGTATCATTGGTCCCACTGTAGAATGTCATATTATTCAAAAAAAAGATGAAACTGTATTTATTTATAGCTTTTTTTCTTACTTTTTTATGATATATAATAGTTTATTTTTATTTTAAATTTCATTTATATAGAGGACATTAAACATTTAAGAGCAAAATTAAAATATTTTTAATTATTCTCTAAAAAGTAAAAACAACATACCTAGACAATCTCAATATAACTAGAACTTCATGAAACTATTTCATCGAATTATATTTAGAAATAGACATTAATTAAGAATTATTTTCATCATTAGAAGTTTGAGAATTTGTTCTCAAAAGAATGCATCATTTGCTAATTCATAGTAGTCTGAGAATTGGTGGTCATGCGGAATTTTCAATACACCAAGTTATTTTGGAGTAGTTTAGAGCGTAATTGAATATGAGTTATGATCGATATTAAAATTGATTGAGTTATATTTAATCATGTAATTCAAAATTCAACTCAAGTCAATTATCTTACTTTTTATAAATGTAATGAAATATAATCAATCAATTATTCTCATGTATCACATCAACTTTAATTAACTGTTCATCCACTCACATAATTTTAACCACATATCACTCCCAATAATTTGTGTGTAATACTATTTATTAGCCTACTAGGATGACAACTTGAGTTACAACCCGAGTATAAATACATTATCAATAAATTAAAAAATAATACATTTACACTTGAGTTGTAAACTAAGTTGTCATCTAAGTGGACTCTATAACATTACTCATAATTTTTTTACTACTTTTATATATCATCAACTTTACTCATTACATCTTAAATATTAATTATTTTTAAATTTAAAACTATTCACTCAATCTACTTTTATTCAAAACAACTCACCTTAACCAACCAAAATCGGTAAAAATCGATTAGATATAAGGGTTTTGTGAAATCTTCTAAAATGTTAATGGGTAAAAGAATTGGGGTTGGTTGAATATATTTCCCGAAATAACTTAGTCCCCTTTTTGTAAGACCCGCGTAGAAATATGCCACTGATGTGAGTAAAGCCAAAGCAACAGTAGTATTTATATCATTCGTGGGTGCAGCTAACTCTCCACGAGGTAATTCTATGATTTTCCACCAAAATCGGTAAAAATCGATTAGATTCATTTTCAATGGCGCCCAAAATCATCTAATCAATCAACCTTATTCAAGACAATGCACTTTAACTATCAAAATTAGATCATAACTGGTTGAAATCATATATAATCATCTAATCAATCAACCTTATTCATGGTAATGCACTTTAACTATCAAAATTAGAACTGGTAGAATTCATATATAATCACGCTCTTAATAGTCTTGAAAGTATTTAATAATTAATAAACTTATTTCGTCAATGCAAAATGAGTTGCAAGTGTTTTTTTTTTTTCTATAATTATGTGTGTGAATGATTATAATTAATTTACTTAAATAATAAACTGATATATAAAGGACTGGCGAGTTTAGAGTATCTCCAATGGATGGTGCATTGCTTCATTTGCCACGTAGCATCAATAATCCAATGTGGCATTTAAGATTTCTAGAAGTCTTTTTAGATGTAGAAAGATTTCTAGACATTTTCTACTTTATATTATATTATTTATTTTATATTTTTCTCTCTACCAACTAATTATTTTATTTCATGTCAATTTATTCTATAATTAACATTCACCTTTGGAGATAAAATAATTTTATTTTCTTTTTTCCACAACATACATATCAAAATAGACATGATGCCATTCGAGATGCTCTTAGCGTTGTGTCTCTGCAAATGGCAACCCTTTTCTCTTTCACTACCAACTGACCCGACTAATTGCAGAGCAAATTCAAGTAAAACAATGTCGACCAAAGGGGGCAGTGGAGTCATCTACACGAACGACACCACAGAAAAAAGACCGATTTGGATGGAAAATCCATTCTCCCTGAAAATCGGCCAAGTGTTCACAGGCTTCGGCGTCGGTTGTGGCGTTGGCATTGGCGTCGGCCGCCCTTTAAATTTAGGTACTTTTAGTCCCTGCAAATTATTTGATTGCGGTTTTCCTTTCTTTTGTTTTACTGGGTTTTCATCTTTTTTCAAGCCATCATAGTTTCGTTGTGTTTTTGTTGATTTCTTGTGCAAAACTCACTGAAATCAAATGTAATTTGTAGTGTTATGTTGTGGGCTTTATCCTTTTTGTAGTTGGTTTGATTGGTTTTGATACGTTAAAATCACTTGAATTTGAACAAAGGTGGATTTTCAAATTTATTAACAATTCTCCACAGGTCTTGTGAAATTTGAGCGAGTTTAGCTATTTATTGTTGTGGCTAGATACACATTTTATTTTCTTCAACTTTTTGTAATGAGAAAACTTATTGTTTTGATTGAGAAGCCTTAATTTTATAGGTGCAATACCAGTTCTGAGTGAAGTTATGATTGCTGCTAGAGGTGCAACTGATGCGTTTTCTGGTGTGCATCGACATGTGAACAGCTCTGTATGATTTTTTATTTTTTATTTTTTTATGTCATCATTTCATATCACTTCTACTTGCTATAAAGATCTAGCTTTCTAACGATTCTTCTTCTTCGTAACATTCATTTATATAGTTGAGAAAAGTGGGGGCAAAGCATATAGAAGCAGGCATTGGATGTGGAGTGGGGTTTGGCCATGGATTTGGAGTTGGTATGTATTTATGATATATAATGCTTAATGAACTCGTGATTGTTCGTTAATCTTCTAGTCATGTATAGCCATGTGTGAATGCTTCACAGAGGTTGTTACTTATATTTATATAGAGCTTCCACGAATTTGAAACTTCCTTTCTCTTAGTTTACTTTTTATTTCTTAAAATCTTTGGAAAATTAGAACTATTTAGTTCTCTTAAATGCTTATACATCTGTCATCTATGTTGAAAAGAAATTGCTGAAGTTTGGACGTAGAAGAATGACCCAGCATTTTTTTACTTAATATGTATGTCTGCTTTGATTAAATCGAACTATTTTCAGTATTTTATTGACTTGGTCTAAGCTAGTTATAGCTTTTCCATAATGCTTTTAGTGATGGAGAGATTGATAGTTAACTTCTAGACGAATCTAAGAACGTGGAAATGAAATTGGTTGAGGTCTTGAAAAAGAAACAAACTTTTTTTATGACCATTTTCGACATGATTGTGTGATTTATTTGTATGGTGTTAACTTGATATGTATGATGTTAAATGATCACTATAGCTGTAATACATCACGCATGATATATACGTGTGTATTTGTACTATTCTCTTGGATCACTCGCACCTAATCTAATGTGAATGACTTGGCAAGTTAAGTTTAGAATTCTTTTGGCTAAGTTTGTGTCACTTTACTTACAGTTCTCCTGTATATTTTGGGCTAAACACCAGGAAAAAATTTGATTTACTCATTGTCATTCGGTTGTAATTTTTAGTTTATTGTGTTGCATTCCCTGAGAACTGTCTGAGCAGATATGAGTAATTTATTGGTTGAAAAACACTGGTGAATATCATGATTTATTTCAGATATAGCTAAGATATGCAATTACGTGACAGGTCTTGCTGTGAAGCCTGCCGTGCTTCGTCAAATTCAATCGAAATTTTCAGTATGCACGCATGCTGTTTTTCTTTTTCATTAACAGCACTAAAAATGGGTGTTTTGTTTTCTTTCTTTTTATTTTCTTTTACCCCCCTAATTTTACCTCAATTCAAATTTTTAGCAATTGGTAGCACAGACAATGGAAAAACTTGGAATAGGTTCAAATTCCACTTTGTCTATTCAACAAGCCAACCTACCGAAATCCTTACAAAAGGACACAAGCACGGCTAGGACACAATCACATGAAAATCGTGCTGAAGGTGAAAGTATTAGTCCATTGGTGAAAACCTCAGAGTTAAACCCACAGCATAGCAGTAGAACAGAAAATGTAATCAACAATTTTCTGCACAATCCACTTCTCCAAGAGAAAAGGGACTCACTTCATGAACAAGTATGTGAACTTTTGAGTCTTTTGTACTGAAGTTTGTTCTTTTTTTCTTTTTTTTTTTTTTTTAAAAAAAATATGAAATATAACTTTAAGTTGTTTGACAATGCTTAGTTAGTACCAAAACCCTATATGTTGGCTAATGGCTTTTTTACAATGTGTGGAAACTATCGAACCAGAAACAATTAGTCTATTGTTGACTGGGTTCATAGTTGGTTTGGTGTAGCAATATATTAAATGTGACGTACATATATTGATCTAAAAATGAATTCTTAGGGCACACAATATAACGATCTATATCTTTGCATGTTTTTATTTCTTTAATGAATGTGAGAATCGTGACTGCTGTTGTGAAAGGTTATGACGAAATCCAGTGGGAAATTGTGCTTTTAAATGGAAAAATGTTGTTATCGGATCTGAAATATAATGCAATGTAAACATTTAAATTAATAATAGTGCAGATTTTCGAAGCGCTTGATGGCAGGCATTTTGATTTTATCTTTGTTTTAACCATGCCAGCAAATTTTGTGTTTTATACAGTGTCGTAACTTGCTGTAAAAGCTCCCTTGATTGATGGTTTCTTCTTTTGTTTCCTTATAAACTCATAATTTACTGACACCAAACTTTTGTTGCTTGCAGGCTGGGACACTGCAGTCGGAAAATAATGTGCTTCAAATGGTACCGTGAAAATTACTTCACTCGTATTAAAGTTTTGCTCACCGAAGTGGAATAACACTAAATATACCAGTGGATGTTCTGAAGATTTTATGTTGATTTATTGGTAATAGTAAAAGAAATGGATTGTCCTTATTGAAGTTTAAAAAAGCTTAGGGCGTGCTTGAATACAAATATATTCGCTCAAAACGGGTTTTTTTAATTAACCAGGGTAAATTTTTAAAAAGCGTTGTATGGTTAGTTGTTAGTGGAATTTTGAGTTTATATTGAAATAAAATAATTAAAGTAGATTTGATGTAAATGTATGAGAAAAATATGTGATGGTTACACTGTAAACAGTTAAAATTGGTTAAAATTGGTTAGTTAAAATTACGTGAGTTAAAGAGGTACCGTGGGCAAACAGCTAATGCAGATTTACATCACATCAACTTTAGAAGTGATGGTTAGTTAATGGTTAGTTAAAATTACGTGAGTTAATGAATAGTGAATTAAAGTTGATGTGATGTGTAAGAATGATTGATTGATATTATTTTATCATATTGATAATAATGAGGATAGTGGATTTGAGTTAGAGTTGCGTTAGATTTTGAGATGGATTGCGTACGGATTGAGTTTATTTATAAACAAACACACCTTAGTTTATTGTTTAAACTAATGTTCGTTTGTTTGCCCTTTCTTTTTCATTTTTGTTTACGGATGGAACACTTTAATGACTCGATCTCTTATGAATCCAGGTGTTGAAACACCAGATACTAATCGAGGAGTTGATCCAAGAAAATGAGAAGCTTCGCGGAATATTGGTGGAAGAGTTAAAAGTACAACCTAGCAAATTCGAGTCTAACTTCACGAGTAGTAATAGTAGTAAGTCCTTATGTACCGACTGTTTTGAATGCCGTAGAAAACAAAGGAAGAGGTGAAAGTTCGAATCATCTTCAGTTGATCTCGAAATATAAAAGCGTGTTTGTTCTAACTTCATGTCAAAATTGAATGTGGGGGCAAATTTTGTTTGATCTTTGTTATTTATTTTCTATTATTTTCCCAGCAAAATAGAAATAGAATAGGCAACAAAAAAAGAGTAACAGAGTTCATGGACATATGTATCACTACTTCACTTGAATGGCATATATTGAGTATTGAGAACCAACGTTCAAATTTTTTTATTGGTTGAAGTGATTAATTTCTTTTTGAAAAACATAGTATAAATTCTGTTATTATAGCATCGAAAATAATAAATTTACTCATGTAAAAACAAAAGTGATGCTTATTTGCATTTGTTTGTGTGTCAGTCCCACCTCGAATTCTCAGAATTTGTGGCTCACTCCATTATCTGCAGAATGTATATCAGAATGCATATGGGTAAATCTGAGTTTGTGGCTCACTCCATTATCTGCAGAATGTATATGTATATGGACATATGTATCACTACTTCACTTGAATGGCATATATTGAGTATTGAGAAAACGTTCAAATTTTTTTATTGGCGATCTGCAGTTGAAGTGATTAATTTCTTTTTGAAAAACATAGTATAAATTCTGTTATTATAGCATCGAAAATAATAAATTTACTCATGTAAAAACAAAAGTGATGCTTATTTGCATTTGTTTGTGTGTCAGTCCCACCTCGAATTCTCAGAATTTGTGGCTCACTCCATTATATGCAGAATGTATATGGGTAAATCTGAGTTTGTGGCTCACTCCATTATCTGCAGAATGTATATATGGGTAAATCTGAGTTTGTGGCTGCATATATGGGTAAATCTGAGTTTGTGGCTCACTCCCAGAATGTATATGGGTAAATCTGAGTTTGTGGCTCACTCCATTATCTGCGGAATGTATATGGGTAAATCGAGTTTGTGGCTCACTCCATTATGTGCAGAATGTATTTATCTGCAGAATGTATATGGGTAAATCTGAGTTTGTGGCTCACTCCATTATCTGCGGAATGTATATGGGTAAATCGAGTTTGTGGCTCACTCCATTATGTGCAGAATGTATATGGGTAAATCTTAGGAACTGAGACGTAAGTAATTACACTTTTAACATTTTAAAAAATTAAACTATTTTGTAATTTATTTTTAACATTTTAAAAAACTAAATTATTTTGTTATTTATTTTATTTTGAGGAGATAAAAATTCTTTTAATTTGAAATTAAAACACTAAACTACTTTGTTATTTATTTTATTTCGTGGTGATAAAAGCAAATTCTTTTAATTTGAAATAATAATCATATGTCGTATCTCCTAATTAAAATTTTAATATTTTTTTCCAAATGATCTTTGTTGGTGTGTTAATATGTTTTATATTTCTTAAAAAACTTGAGTGTTACATATGTTTTGTTGATATGTTTTATCCAATGAATTTAGTTAGTTTTTTGAAAACTAATTTATCATTTATTTTGTTTATTAGTCTTCTAAAAACTACTATATTATTTTATTTTGTTTATTTTAAAAATAAATATATGCATGAATGAAAGTATGCATTATTGAAGATAGTAATCAGCAATTGTTATCTAGTATTTGGATAGTACTTTCATATGAAATCAAAGTCCAAGTGACAGAAAATTTTAACTTTGACATTGAGGTATTGGAGATGCTTTTACTCTCATGGTATTATTTTTTCTTTTTCCTTTTTTAACTATCCCTTTTCTATTTAGTTAAAATAAAATTATCATATTAATAATTATAAAATTATACTACTGTCACACATTATTAATAATAAAAAATAGTGATAGTTACACACTACATTCTTAGATTTAAAAATGAAGAATTTATATATGAATTAATTAATTAACTATTTTAGTTGTATCCATGTTATAAAAAAATATGTATATTCATAAGTTGTTCTCTTCATTCTCTTCGTCGTCTCGCCGCCGCCGCCATCATCGTCGTCGCCAACGCGATTGCCGACAAAACTGAACAAACTCATTGCACGGGTAGCATTGCAATGCATATATGTAATGTTTTGTCAAATAAGTGCGTAGATTTAAAATACTTAATGCAAAGATTAACATACTGTAAATCTATGTGTGTTAGGACATTTAAAAAATATAATTATAATATTATTTATTTGCGACAATGCTGTGACTGATATATGTATAATTAGTATATATTTGCATTTGTTTGTGACACATCATATGCATTTGTCCCACATTGGTTTCCCAGTTTTCATTCTCTTGATATATGTATGGTATTTGGAATGCAATTGGCCAACACGCCATAGGAAGAAGTGAATGGGCTGTGAGGTCTTATGGATCTTGAGCCTAGGAAAGTCCCCGGGCCATTTTCCGCAGAGATGCGGGCCCAGCAATGGGTAAGTCTTAGGCATTGGATGGTCTTGGCTGAGACTGTGTGGAGCCATATGGGCCGCCTTGCCAAGTTCATATTTGGCCAATCGCTACAGTTATTCACAAGGTTGTTTAATCAACCAACAGAACGGGGCTTACTCTCTCATGGTATTCCTTTNCTATCATATTAACAGTTATAAACTTGATATTTCATTCATTTTGCTATTCCTTTTCTATTTACGATAAAATAAAACTATCATATTAACAGTTATAAACTTCATATGGTCCGAGTACCCTGAGCTCGAGCTTGAGCTCAAACCCTTAACGAGTCAGAGCCGAGTTTGGCAAGTTAAATAAAGGGATTTTCTCATAGTTTTTAAACCCGGCTCGGTGATCGACCCGGGCAGGTCCTCGGATCATCGGGTCAATTGCTGAACCGGATAATTAATTTTAAAATTTTTAAAATTATATATATAGTATTTTTGTTATATAAATATACATAAAAGTAACAAAATTAAATGTTTTATGTATAAAATTTGTATATTAAAGTGTTAATAATATGTATCTCATGATAAATATTTACCATATAAACATACATACATAGTTTTATTTTTAAAAAATTAAAAAAAATAAAAAAATATGTATGGACCGGGTCAATCGGGTCTCGGCCGGGTTTTGACCGGGTTTGACCGGGTCCTTAGTTGACCGGTCCAAATACTCCACTCGGACCGGTTCTGGCTCCGGGTCGACCCGGGACACCCGTCGGACCGGTCTGGGTCACAAAAACAGTGGATCTATATATATATATAAAAGAGGTTGTTGAAAAAATATATTAATAGAAAGTTTGACCAAATAAATATAATGTTTGACTTACTATTTGGTAACAAATTTGGAGATTTTTATGCAAAATTTGAATCCCATTTTTTTCGTATCATTTACCAAAATTTAAATCATATATTTTTTAGTAACAAATTTGGAGACTCTTATGCAAAAAATGTGTCAATTATTTATGAAAATAATTCTAAATACAAATTAATTTAAAATCTGTGCAAATTGGATATAAATTTAGGAAGCAAATAGTTGTATAATTCTTAACCAATTCTTTCAATCTTATTGAATAATTTTTTCTTTCAAAAAAATTGTGTAAATTGGATAAAGCCACGTGCAATTTTTATTTTAAAATAAAACTGATATTTGGACGGGATGTACATTCAAAATTGTGTCCACATTTTATGGTAACAAAAGCAGTTCATCGTTGATATTTAAAGTCACATTATCCAATTATTTAGGAAAAATTGTATGTAACTTTTCAAAATTTAAGTGCATCGATGTTTTTGGATTCATATGTTTTTTCTTAATCATGTTTTACCGAGATTTTGGTAAGTTCATATCATTTTTTTTTTGGTTAAGTTCATATCATTTTCTTTAGGAAAGAAACAGTTGCATAAACATTAACAATTTATTAGAATTATTTTCAATTCAATTTGTTTGATACAAAAATTGGTGCAATGTTAGGAAAATTTAGTTGCATTTTTAGAAAAAATTGATATTTTTTTTAATTTGGTTTTAAAAAAAATTCGGATCAATTTGTTTGATAAAAAATTGGTTTATTGGTAGGAAAATCGTTTTCATTTCCGGGAATAACTAATAATTCTTTTCAATTTTTCTTAATTGAAATTTAGAATTAGATTTAAAATAAATAATGGGTGGAGATCCCTAAAAATTCTACTTTTTTTCTACTTTAATTTTGTTCAGTAAATAAGATTCTTTATTTTTTTAAAAATTTGTTAACTAATAACTAATAATATGTAATTTTGGATAAATTTGAACACCTATGTAGTACTTTACGTGCCAAAGAATCAAATCAATAATGTTGTACATAAGGAAGTGTTTAATAATATGTAAATTTTATTTTTTATAAAATTTTTAATGACCTGAGACAATTTAAATACAAAAAGACTTTTTAAAAAATATATAGGTAATAAATGCTCCCGTGTACTAGTTTCTTATAATAAAGTATAAACCCTCTTTTACCAAACCGACCCGATGGATAGTCCACCAACCCGCTAAAGGTCCGAAACATATCCATTTTCAAATCCCGTCAAAACCAACCCTTTTGCTGCAACTCATCACCCCTCAAGTTCAACTCAAGCTGCAGCTATGGCGTCGATATCCTTTCCGACCACCCGGACGACTCCGAGCCCGAATTTATTCCTAGCCTCTCCACCTCTGTTTTCTCCTAGAGCTTCTCCGGCGTCCAATTTGCTGTCTCCTAATGTCGGCGGAGGCCTATCGAGCGACTTTTCGGGTCTGAAATCCCGACCCGCTTCTCTCAGCTCTTCCTCCGGCCGTCCGAAACGCGGCTTCGTCACGATGGTACGTTCTCGACGGATTCGTGCGCAGTCGTGTTCTGTAATTTGTGTAATTGTTTTATCCCTTTTCAGTTGTTCCTTTAATTGCGAAATCCAGTCATGGTGTTCTAGAATTCATTGTACTCCCCTAAACTGAAGTTGAAATACTCCCGTTCTTATGAATTGTGATGAATGTCTGGGGGTGTGAAGTGTTATTATCAGTGTTGAGTTGCTGCATCTTGTGTTTAACAGGTGATTCCTTTCGAAATGGGAAGCGCGGAGGATCAACCTCCTCCAGATTTAGCGTCGGTCCTCTTAGCAGAGCGAGTCGTGTACTTGGGAATGCCTCTCTCTCCATCTGTCCACGAATTGTTGACTGCACAATTTCTTTACCTTCAGTATGAAAATATCAAAAAACCAGTTTACCTATACATAAATTCGACTGGGACGACCAAGGTTAGAGCTTGTATAATCTTTTGTATTGTCATCCTGTAACAGGACGCCAAACAGCGTACTACTGGATCTCACCTAGCAAGAGATCGATAATGCTTTGTTTAATTAACATTCATTTAGGTCTCATAACATTATTATATTTCAGTCAGCAGTATTTTTTAATCTTACCTGATCATTAATTTGTGGCATTTTAGCAAATGAGATAGGTTAAGGGAAGAAAGAATCCGTATGAAAAATGATTACCCTCATGATATGCTGAAAGTATGATGTGAAAGGTTCAATATCATAAATTTCAGTTCTGATGCTTTCAAATTAAATGCGCAGATATCTTACTCTCGATTACGTAGCATTATTGTGTGCAAGGCCTATACATAAATTGACTGAACCCATGAAGCCAGTAGACTTTACATGGAGTTGACAGAAACAATTTTGAAACTTTAATGGAAGTATAGTCGGGAGATAGACGAAAGAGTCCATATTGAAAGGTCGCTGAGTAGGTTTCAATTAGATTTTAGCTCCACCACCGTGCCATGCTGAAACTGTAATTTGTGATGTCCGCCATCAGAAATGCTGGTCATTGCTAGACAAATTTACCACTCACTCTCCCGTAGTCTGCCTATCTTTCTCACACACGCATGTATGGACAGGCTTACACACAGAGAGGCATCTGCCAAAAGAATTTTTGGATTGGAATGGAAGCTCGTCATTCCCTATTCATATGACACAACAAAATAAGGGGGACTACCCTGAAATAGTGGCGTGGAGTCTTCTAAATGGGTGATAACCTAGGAATGAACAAAAAACATCTCTACTATTCAAATAGAAATTTGAATGGATTAATGGAAGTCAGCACCCACAGAAGATTTGTACTTTAGTTTAACCAATGATTGAGCAATTTGCCAATTTCAGTCTTCTAATTCAAGTTAAGTCCTAGCTTTAATAGCCAATTCAGCGCCACAAGATTGCGAGACTGCCTGCTCATGCTGGGTAACTCTTAGGAAATTTGGAGACGTAATGGTACAAAGAGACTGTACATTTTCCTTGGTAGCACTCATGCTTTGGAGTTATAAACCACCATTATTATGTATACTGTGTGCAAACAAGACAATCGACTTAAAAACAGAGAAAAATGCCTGCTTTGCACCGTGTGATCTGTTATACTATGACTATAAACATATGAAATGGTTTCAGTATTTATAGTTGGATGTTTAATGTATTTTTCCTTCTCTTGCTGTCTTTATCACCTTGCTTGTGTGCTTGTGTGTTGCTATTGTAGATGGCTATAGTTGTCTATACTTCTATGAGTTCCTATATTTGGGCAAAATTGTATACATGTGGTACTTATTTGGTGCTTATCTTGCTTTTATCTAGGAAGTTTTTTAATTGTTGTTTATTGCAGAATGATGGGAAGTATGGCTATGACACTGCAGCTTTTGGAATACATGATGTTATGAGGTTTTAATCTTTAGCTATAAATCTCAATTTTGTTAGAATTTTTAGCTTTTTCTCTGATGGAAAGCTGGTATATTGATTGTCCCTATCAGGAGAGGCCCAAACCTAAAGAATGATATAGTGGTTGCATTACATAAAAGTATAAAACGTGAAAATTATAGTTGTTTTATTTTAGCTGCTGCAATAGTTTAAAAAAAAAAAGCATGACACAGCAAATAGTTTCTTTACCTTCTAATTCATTTATCATCTAAATGTAGATAAACGCCATCTTTAAATATGTTTCCTTTTTTCCAACCGAATAAATTCTATACACAAGTTCTGCTCAAATCTTAGAGTAATGAGGAGGGTAGACGTAGACTGTTAACTGTATAAGTGAAATTTGTGGACTTGAGTTCATTTTATAGTCCTAAAATCAATAAAAGTTTTGTAGATATCTGGAAGCCCCTATATATACACTTTGTGTCGGTAATGCATGGGGAGAAGCTGCAATGTTACTAGCTGCTGGTGCCAAGGGGTATCGTGCTGCCATACCCTCATCTACAATCATGATAAAGCAGGTTTATTTTTTAGCCATACATTGTTGTGTTATCTGAACTGAAGTATTTTGAAGAAAAGAAGTATTATTTGGCTTGGAGTCCTACATTCAGTCCATAATGAGCATTCGAACCATATATTCTTATCTGGGAACAGAAGTATCACTTAATTTCTATCAATATTATAATTTTTATACTTGGTGGTAGTTCTGCTCAAACATGCACTACTGGTACAATTTTGCAGCCAATTTCCAGGTTTCAGGGTCGAGCTACTGATGTGGAGAATATGAGAAAAGAACTCAAACGTGTGAAGGGTATTTTGGTAAAGTTGTCGAAAACGTTTTCTTCATATTTCTGCTCATTAAGTTCATGGAACTTCCGTTTTACGGCCCAAATTTTGAGGTTCCTGTAAAAGCATTTGCTTATAGCTTCTTGTTTGATGTTACATTACAAAAGAGTTTCTATATACCCGAAAACATGAATAAAAGTCATTGGTTCAGTATTTTTCTCGGGATTGCAAATACTTGAGGTTCGCTTGATCCGATTTCTTCATCACTTAACAGTAATTCTTTTGGTTGAATCTTACATTAAGATTTTGATGTTTGACTTGAAAGGTAAAACTCTACGCGGAATACATTGGTAAGTCAGAAGAGCAGATTGAAGCAGACATAAGGCGTCCAAAATACTTTAGCCCCAGTGAAGCTGTTGAATACGGGATTATTGATAAGGTAAAATTGTTTGAATGTTTAGTTTATTATACTTTGTTCTAATTTATCTACAAAACTGTAATGTGACTTGTATTTGGTACTTGAAGGTTCTATATAATGAGAGGGCTAATAGAGATAAAGGAGTTCAGTCAGATACAAAAAGGGCAGAAAACGTATAAAATAATTTGGAAGTTCCTATCTTATCACCTGCTACAAGCCGAGGATTTTTCTATGATTATCATAGATTGGAGGGCCTGTTTTGTGAAGTTTGACCATAAATGCGCAACAAAGTTGGTCTGGTCTGCTTATGTTTTTTCTTGCTGTGCTTGCCAATTTAGGTCAAACTTGTGTTATATTGAAGTTTATATTATATGCATTTACTTCTGGCTCTGCACTCTGCAGTCCTTTTGTAGATGCACTGCAATGTGTAATGTCGAAAATGTGTTGATCGACTTGGTTTTATTTATCCGATGCTGATTTATCTTGTTAGGTGGACTGAATGGAAATACTACACAAATTTACTTTATGTGAAGTTAACAGTTTTGGTTCATTTGTTGGTAGGTACCATCAAATTATAAAAATTGACCTTAAGGGATATGGTTTTATCAAATTGAAAGAAGAAGAAATGTTTTGAAAACAAAATGTGGTGTGACGACGAATAGTTGGTTTATTATGAGCAAAATAATTAGAAAGCAAGCACACAGGCAGGAATGTGCGAACGAGGCAGGTCAATTGCATCGAACCTGAACTACATACGGGTCAGCAACTTCTTGAACTTGATAGGGCTAACCGGAGAAGCAGCTAGACAGGAAAGTAGGCAAGACAGGCAAGGAAGGCAGCTATCTCGCACTGTAACCCGGGATAGACTACTCTATAGGGAAGCAAAGGACAGCTACGTTAGTATCGCAATACGGTATGGAATTCCTTGATGGTTGACTTGAACTTGATAGGGCTAATCTCCCACTTGACTTTCTAGTTTTTATTTAGTAAAGGCCAGTAAGCTTATATATATACAAGAGCGAAGGAAAGGGAGTTAACGCAGATAGTAAGGAAGAAATATCCAGGAATGACCTGGAAAGGTGAGCTATAGATAGTATATCTTTTGTTGTACCTAAACATACGCTTTTCTAAAGGGATTGGACCCTGATCAGTGTCAACAAATCCCTTTTCTTTTTCGTCTTCGCAGTAGTGTTCATATTGAGCGCGCACCTAGGGATCCATTTCTGATAAAACGGTGTGCTGCCTATCTTTCCCCATTTTTTGGAGATTTTTTTGCATTTTCGCGAAAATGAGACTTTTTTCATAAAGGTCAATTACATCGAACCTTCAGCTCCATCCCGCGATAAGCCTGACGCTCTACGTTGCGCTGCTCTTTTTTTGTCTCTCCTTTTGCACCCTTGATACTCTTGAGCCAGGAATGTGAATTGATTGATTTCGTCTGAAAGGCGTTCCGTATACACCGAAAGAGTTTGACTTTCTCTTTCTAGTAAGAGCTTTTCCCTTCCCAGCTGCTCGTTCAATCGGAATAATGAACGGGAGCGTGGATAAAGATCCTGCTGCGCCGCAGTAGGAGATGAAATCAACTCTTTGGTGTCGGGAGGGGGAAGGGAGATAGAAAATGAGAATTCACCGAAAGAGGTCGGGCTGGCAGATTAGCCTTGGCAGCAGCCTATTCTCCTATCTTTGTAGTTTACTAGAAATAGCTTTTCTTTGATCTGACTCCTGCCCCGCGAAATCAGGTTCAAGGCTTGAGATTGGTCCGCCGCATCCCCCGAATCGATGGTAGAGGGAGACTCACATTCAAAGAAGAGGTGGGAATACAACATAAAAAAACATGTGGGTGATAGGGAGGAGATAGACAAGATAACCCCTTTTCACTGGCCTCTTCACCACCTGCATCCACTCGCCGTAGTAGTTCTTTGTTGTCCCACCACCGGTTTATCCGCCGATTCGCCGCCGGTTGTGGGTAGGCTGGAAGGCGATGGAACTGCCCCTAGGAGAGAAAGTAAGGAGACGAAGCCCTTCAAGGAGGCCTATATGAATACGGTTGCGATATTGATCGGATAGCTTCCTTCCTTTATTAAGTCAATATGACTAGGTATCGATCGACTGAGAGGTACTTCATACGGGAACGCGTGTAAGCTGTCAACTCCTTCTTCTTGACGCTTGTCCAGCTTTAGCCGTTTCTAAGATTTATTCCTTTGTTCGATACGCTAGTCCTAGAGGAGATGATGTTTATCGACTGAAAGCCTGATAACGCTTATTACGTGTACGCTTTCTAAGATAGACCCAAAATAGCTGAAATAGCTGATGAAAATATAAATTTTGATTCGTTGCTTTTCTCGTCGGTTTCTATTTGAGTTTCCATTTCAATAACTTAGATTATTTCGGTTTGATTTTTACTTTTGATTAAAAAAAAAAACAAATTAGCTGAACTGATTGGTCGATTTGACTTTTGGTAAATGAATCATTCAGTTAATTCACAAACTAACGGATCAAACTCCCCCAAAATGAATAATAATTTCTCTGATCAATTGTGTAAGTAACACTTTTTAAAAAAAATAAAATAAAATAATCATCAATACTTGATCACAATGAAACATGTCTAACACGCAAAATTAAACAACATAGATTCCTCGTCGTTTAAGAGACATTACACAAAGAGAACATTTATCTAATTTATTGAGATAGATAATTAAAGTTAAATATAATAATCTCGAATCACATACATCCAAACATCGACCTTTAAGATGATTATAAGAGCATAGAATAATACATTTTGATAAATGTTAATAAGTTTATTGGAGTGTGAACTATGTAGGATAAATGTTGAGTTTATAACTATAAAATTACAAAAATCATCCAATGCACAATATAGTCAAGCTACATTATTATTCACTTAGCTTACATTATTTTTTGAAAAAAAAGAAAGTCAATTGAATTGTTAATAATATTTACCTTTTGTTTGGCTAGAGTGTAGAACACAATAAAGATAACTCACATTTTTCTTTATATTGTATTAATAATTATGTCCAGGTCACAACTATATTTTTATTGACATTGTACATTCGATGATGAAAACTTGTCCCAACACCTTTCTTCCCCGGGTCATCCTGCTTCTTAACTGAAACATTAGGTGTGTATCTAACTTGTATTATATATGGCATAGTATTGTTTAGTTAAGAATTAGCAGTTAGCAAGCAGACAAGTTTTCAAGTAGGCTGACGGGCGGAAAGAGGTCGTTTATCATATATTACTTTCATACCTAAAGCTATGGTTGTGTTAAAAATTAAAATAGAGACACTTATCTGATCTTTTTTCAGTTATTTTAAGAATCACTCGCTGACTTTGTAACATTATTAAACGCGCATATGCAGAATGTAGTTGCGAGAACATATAATTTTCAACAGATATATATTTAAACTAGAATATTATACCTTTAAAAATAAAGTGAATAAATATTTAGTTTCATATCATAATTCAAAAAAAAGAAGAATATTATCAGTTTACAGTGTTTTTGAAAAAGAATATTTAAAAAAAAATCAAAAAATAAAGAATATCTTAATAAGTGAATATTGTCAGTTTACAAAGAATCAAGAAATGCAATCATAACAGTCTAATATCATACAAAATATAACTAGTTCATAAGTAATTATTTCATCAGTCAATTTTCTAACACAATTCGAGGACTACCTTCACAAAGCAAGTGACGTGAAAAATAACTAAAAAATGGGTAAAGTCCACTTTTGGTCCTCCATGTTTAGGGGGTATCCAGACTGAGTCCCTATTATGTTTTGGTGTCCAATTTTAGTCCTTAAAACAAAAAAAATGAGTCCCTATTATGTTTTGGTGCCCAATTTTAGTCCTTAAAACAAAAAAAAATGAGTCCCTATTATGTTTTGGTGCCCAATTTTAGTCTTTAAAACAAAAAATGAGTCCCTATTATGTTTTGGTGCCCAATTTTAGTCCATAAAACAAAAAGAATGTAGTCCCTTTACCTCAATTTCTGTGAATTAACGGTCCATTTTTGCTCGACTGTGATGTTCTTTATTTTTGTTAAAATTTGTTGATTAATGTCAACTTTGACCAAAGAAAAATAAAAGAAAATTTAAATGCTGAAAATATATTAATAAAAAATTAAACTAAATCAAGAAATTGCACTAAATTAAATTAAAATTTTTGCTCGTCTGATTTCTATTTCCCTAGCACTCGCGCTGTGGAACAAGCCTGGAATCACAGCTAATGCTCTTGCACCCATTTCCGGGTCATGCCATCGAAAAAAATTGCACCTATCAACCCTCTGTTTTTTAACCATTTCTTATCATATTCCAATTGAAGTTCACGGAAAGTACTTACAGGATATAGAGGGCAACTCAAAAATCTTCTCCCGAGATTATCATCCTTCCAGCATGTAGTCAACTTTGCAACCAGCTCACATCTACAAAATACCACACCATTTCCATCCATTTGATCGGATTTAGTCCCTAGGCGGTTAGGGTTTTTTTTTTT